TCCCCTTCCATCCGATCTAACCACCCCCCACCCCCGCAGCGACCTCGCCCCCGACGGCAAATCCTTCCTCAACCCACCCGGCCGGCCCTCCCCCGCCTACACCACCTTCCCCGCGCCCATCAGCAACGGCCCCCGCGGCGGCTTCGACGTGCACATCTACTTCCTCCAAACCGACGCGTCCCAACACGCCTACGCCACCGCGCTGCACGAGCGCGTGCGCCGCGAGTTCCCCGAACTGCGCATCTACCGCGTGTGGGACCGGCCGATCGGGCCGCACGTGACGGCCATGTTCGAAGTCAACTTGTTCACGCCCGAGCAGTTTGGCGCGTTTGTCCCGTGGCTGGTGCTCAATCGGGGCCCGCTGTCGGCGCTGGTGCATCCGAATACCGGGGATGATGTGAGGGATCATTCGCAGAGGGCGACGTGGTTGGGGGAGCCGCTGCCGGTGAATCTGGCGCCGTTGAGGAGGATGGTGGAGGCGAAGAGGAGGGAGGAGGAGGAGGAGAAGGGGAGGGAGAAGGGGAGGGAGAAGGAGAAGGGGCAGGAGAGGGAGCAGGAGCAGGCGAAGGTGTGATTGGGATGGGGGGAGTGAGGAAGGTGGATGGCTTGGGGTAATGGGAGAAGGAGCATACTAGCTCGGCTCTTGAACACTTTTCGTATTTTGAGAAGTTTTGACGGGGAGATGAGCTGACAATCTATTTTGATCGAGAAGGAAGTTATCAACCATATAGGCGAATACCACATGAAAGAAACTCAACCGCCTGAGCGAACTTCACGGGTTGGTGTTTTTACGATGATCTCTACCGCTTAATCCCTATATATGGGGTTGAGGAGCGTTTGAGACTCAATTGGCCGCACACTCGTACTGAACTCGGTCCACGAATTTTCCTGAATCACGCATCTTTCATGACGACGTCCTCGCCTTCCTTGACCCCGTTTGTCTTTTCTGGCTCCTCCTGCGGACGGGCCAACCATCCGAAGAGCATCCACAAACCCCTCGTAGCCTCGATGCGGTCTTCCGTATGGAAAAGATCATACCAGCGCGTGCGCCGGAGTACCGGTCGACACCAATTCTCATCGGCCGGAAGCGGAGATGGCAGCTCGCCCGTCTCAATCCATGAAATGTACGCCGGATGGACACGCAAATGGAGCAGGGCTATGTGCGTGTTTACCGAGGACACGGTAAAGACCTGCAACAAGGTTAACGATCCAGCTCACTCGCAAAGCTCTCCCTTCAGCCGTTTCGAGGCCAAAGCGAGCAGATACTCACATCATCCCATTCCGAGCTCCTGTCCTTCCCAATGGCCTCATACTCCACCTTCGGATCCCAGTACCCAGCCCCAGGCTTGAGCTCCGCCCAGACCTCAGCCGCCGTCTTCTTCCTCGCCGGCCTCCTGCTGCTGCGGATGGGCCTCTCTTCCTTCTCAGGCTTGGGCGCGGCGCCCTCGCCGCTGTCTTCCCCGCGCGCCTCGCCGACCTCGCCGCCCTTGCCGCCTCCCCATCTCGGAACAGCCGTCCACCACTTCCCCGCACCAGGCTTCGTCTCGGTGCGGCCTTCGCGCGCCCGCTCCTGCGCAATATGCAGCAGCGAGCCGACCTCACGCATGACATCCAGCAGAGCTTCTTGCTGACCGTCACCACCACCACCACCACCGCCAAAGTCGACGTAGTCGGCGACGCGCAGCCCGGCGGCGGGCCCGTGGACGAAGTTCTGGCGCGCCTTCAAGCGGTCGGTGCTGCTGCGCCAGACGGCGGCGGTGACGCGCACGGGCACGCGCAGGTTGCGCATCTGCAGCGCGGGCGGCCGGCGGTGCGGCGCGATGTTCATCCCGAAGCACCACGCCACCGGCTCGACGAAGGAGCGCACCGTGTCGATGCGGTAGCCGTCCGGCATGCCGCTGCCCGTGCCGATGCGGAGGCCCTTGTACATGCCGGCGGGCTTGTTGTTGTTACTAGCGGCGCTGTTGCCGTTGGGCACTCTGGGCGGGTTGGTGACGTCGAGCTTGGCCGGCGTGGGGGCGGGACGTTGGGCCAGGTTGATGGGTTGGCTCTGGTCGGAGGCGGCGGCGGCGGCGGTGCCGCTGCTGGGAGCCGTTTCGGCCGAGGTGGTTGGTGCGGTTTTGGCTTTCTTGCGGGCTACGGACTCGTCTATGTGGGTAGCCTCGAGCCGCGTAGCTTCCTCGGATTCGACAACGTCTGACGTCTTCCTGTCCTCGGCGGTCTCGGACGCGTCGGCGGCGTCCGTCTGCTTGGGCTGGTCTTCGGGCTTGGGAGGGATGTACTCGTCCAAGCTCGTATCCCAGTAGTACGCCATGTTGTCGAGGCCCTCCCAGAACTTCCGGTAGTGGGCCAGACGCGGCGGTTTCTTTTCCTTGTCGTGCGAAATGCGCGTCAGGACGGAGAAGGCATCGTGGTTGTCGAGCACCAGCTCCTTGAGGCGGATGGCGAAATCCTCCCGGCCAGGGAACGGCCTGCCATTGCTCAAGAGGCGTTTTGGGCCTTCTCCCTGCTGCGCCGGGGCCTGGACAGGGGCTCCATCGGCGGGGAGTTCAGTCCATTCCTGCGGAACCGCGTACGAGGCCACCCCGGGAAGGACGGACAGCAAGTCCCCAATGCTGGTCTCGGGTTCCAGGGAGACGTTCAGGCCGAGGAACTGGTCAATGGTGATATCAGAGGGCTTCTTGATCCGTGCAAACTGCTGCAACAAGGCAGGAGGATCGCCGTCCTTCGTCCATGCTGCGGGCTTGCGGACTGGGGGCTGAAAGTTTGGAAACTTCACGGGCGTGGGCAGCTCCGGTGGGGGCCGCTCCTTGGTCGAATCGTGTCTCCCAGCCAGGAGAGAGCCTACTACGTGTTACTACCAAGCTCCAAAACTCCGCGGTCTCGATCAGGAAAGAAGAGCGCGTCACGTCTAGTAGCGAAGCAGCGTGAGACGCAAAGAGATGAGTCGAATTCCAGCAATTGGCGGCAATGAGTGGTCGGGGAGCACAGAATGGGCGTCGCCTTGAAACCGCCAGAGGTAACTACGGCAGCGCCGGCGAGTCAGGGCATGGGGGGCATGGGGGCAGCAGGCAGGATGCGGGCTGGAGCGGGCTGGAGTGACGGAGTGACGGCATGGGGCAGGAACGGGGTAGACGGACGTCAGAGAGCGGTGGTGGATGGTGGTTGCGGAGGTGGAGGGGCGTCGCACGTTGCTCGCGCGGTTGAGCGTGGTGTGGCAGCCGTGGACGGGTGGCGCTTGGTGCCAGGATGCGGCCAACCGGCAGCGGCGGCGGCGGCGGCGGGATCAAAAGAAAGCACTGGACTTACTGCTTCCGCCGAATGCAAACATGCTGGAGCGTTGGTTAAGGACTTGGAGGTTTCATGCGAAACGAAGCCCACATTGCCGCGACGGATGCGAGGAGATGCGGCGTAGCTGGACAGCACGACGTTGCGCACTGTCGGCTGATTATCCGGATGGGTCATCGCTGCGGCGCGTCGCAGGTGGGTCGCCCGGCCAAAAGAGGCACCTGGCACAGCCGAGCATCAGACCTGGACTCGCTGCCAGTCTGCCACTAGCCAGGCACCGCTGCAGTTTGGCCCACGCCAATCACGCCCAGAGAAGCCGCACCAGCACCCACCAGCACCCACCCAAACCCGCACCCCGCCGGCCCGCCGCCGCAGCCGAACGCTGCAGGCCACTCGCGACGCCCGCGCGCCGGCCGCGACCCGCGCGGCAGCCGTGCAGCTCCTCAAACACCACAGCGAGCCTGTCTGGATTACGCGCCCGAGCTTGCGCGCAGGCCGCATGGCCTCATGACCGCCACCGATCGGCCGCCCGTTGCGGCGCATCTGAGACGACGAGCGTCCGCGCGGCGGCTGCGACCAGGGCGGTTGCCCGAACGGGCACGCGATGAAACGTCGCAAGCTTCACCTCCCCTTCGCAACCGCCCGCCACCTCCCGCCCGTGCAGCCGTTTCTGCTGATCGCGCACTGGCTCTGCCCGTTGTGTTTGTGCCCCAGCCCGCCCGCCGCTATATCCAGTCGCAGCCCCGACCACCATTTTGCCAACTTTTCCTCGCCGCCGTTGCGGCTGCCCCGAACTATCAACTGCCTTGCATGCCGCGAGACCCGCGACGTTGACGTTGAGCGTCGACGCGCATCGTATGCATGGCTGAGCCGCCGAGCACCATCACCACCGTCAACGGGCGCCGGTGCACCCGCGTCCGCCGCACCTCGACCCTGCTGGCTGGCAATGTATGTGCTCACTTCTCCGCTTGTGTGCCGCCCTGGACACTGCTGACCTGCTGCAGACGCAGACCTTGACCTCCCCTGCCACCTCGACCGCCGCCGCGCCAGGTACGCAGACCACGGCCGCGCCAGCGACGACGGTCCCTCCGCTGTCGTCGACCGAGGCCGCTTCTCCCGTCCCAGCACCCGCTGCCCCTTCGTCATCTGCACCGACCCAACCAGACGCGTCTCAGAGCCTCTCCTCTGAGCCGCTCACGTCCGGGTCTGCCCAAACTTCATCCGTCTCTGCTGGGCCTTCTCAGCCTTCTTCATCCAGTTCGCCGAGGTTTGCCGTGGCCACGACGGCGACTGGGCCCGTTGCTTTTACTTCTGATGCTTCTTCCTCGCTCGCAAGTTCTACTACTTTGAACGCTCTTCCTTCTAGCACTATACCCGTCACCACCACCGCACAGAGCGGAAGTTCTGACACTTTGACTGCAGTCGTCTCAGTCGTCTCTTCATCTACTTTTATTGCTTCGCAGCCAACTTCCGATTCTGTTTCTTCATCTATAGCCGGCGGGTCCAAAGGCTCCGGATCCACGTCAGACGACGGCCATTCGTCAAGTCACCACACCCACCATGGTCTTTCCCCTGGTGCTATTGCCGGCATCGTCCTTGGCGTCGTTTTCGGCATTGTCGCTATTGTCGCTTTGATTCTGTTCTGTCTCAAGAGGAGGAAGGAGAGGAGAGGGGAACTGAATGAAAAGAGTGTAGGAGAAGGGGGCTTGGCTGGGGCTCAAGCGGCGCCACGATCAGGTCTCGCGGCCAAATGGGCGGCCCTCACGGCAGGGCTTGCCGCCACGGCGGGGCTGAAGCCGTCTGGTACGGATGGTGTCTCTAGAAGGACACCAGAATCACCTGCGTTTGAACCCGTCGCACGGTATTCGTACAGCTCTGCGGGCTCTGCGGGCTCTACGCGTCATTTGCGCTCTACGAGTGCTCCGGCAAGCCCACCTGCGAACCGTTTGGCGGCGTTCAAGCAAAGGTTCCAAAAACCACGGAACATTGTCGCAGAAAGAAGAGGCCGTGCAGTGTCCACCGACAGTATTCCGTCGTTCTATTCTCCCACACCGCCTGTGCTGGAAGACCTTCCCGAGTCCCTCAATCCCTTCAGAGATCCAGTCCCCCTATCATATCACGTCACCAACCCGGACGCGGAAACCCTTTCCCCCAGGATTCAAACGCCAAAGACGCTGATGCTCGGCGGTAATCCAAACGAACAACAAGGCCTCTTGACACCAGGCTTAGCAAACTGGCGCCAGCCAACTCCACAGTTCGGTTTCCCAACAAATGGAGGACCGGAGAACCCATTCCTGGACCCAAGACAGCGAACTTCTGCTGCACGGAGAAGCAGTCTTCCCTATCCGCCCCTGGCCAGAGTTGCCGCTCATGCCCGCACGCAGAGTGGCAGCGCAAAGGCTTTGTCACAAGCGCGCTCATCTTGGTATTCCGAAGACTCAGGATACGTTTCACCAAACCACCCTTCGGCACACGTTCCGCCTCTTCGCCCTCCCAGAAGCAATCCGTTCGTGGACAATCATGCCGTTGAGCTGTCTGTTGACGCACCATCGGAGAAAGATTCCGCAAGCATCTACATCCTTCCATCCTCGCGAGGAAACAGTGTAGACTCTGGTAGGAGTCCGCATGGTCCTATTCCGCTTCCAAGCTCCAGGACATCCCTCTATCGCTCTTCTTGGCTCAGCCCAGCGATCTCCTCCAATCCGAGTGGACGTAATAGTGGAGCAAGTGGAGACTACAGCAGACGGAGGACAGCAGCGAGCCGTGAAACGCGAGGCAAGAGTGACCCATTCGACCTTGACCGGCCTGAAGTGCTGGCTATAACATCCAACTATGACCTTGGGAAAACTCCCGACTTGTCACGACATAGCAATGGATCTGAATGGTGGAAAGAGATTATCGATGAGGGTACTGGAAGCGGCAGCGACTTCGACCACCCCAGCAATCGTGCTTATCCCTACGGGTTGGCACCTTGAGTATTACGCTAATCAGCCGCTCTCGATGGCGGCAGGCAGAGAAGACATATAACGGCCTGAAGTATACATCAATTAGTGTTTTGTGTTAGCATTTGGTATTAGAACCTGGACCTACTGCATTGCATGCGGGTTGGGAAAAATGGGAACATAGCTGCGCCATGTTGCAACGAATCTTCTTCTCTATTTCCCTGTATTTCTTTTTGACACAACCACTTTTCAGCGTCCTGGGGGTCTATTGTATGATTTGTTCGACAGTATAGCGTCTTCCGATGAGCCATTCCGGTAGCATGTATAGAGAGGAAATGAGATCAAACGTAGTCAAGAGGAGGATGACGGCGCAGTCACGATCAAGCAGCGTTATGGAAAGATACCAATTTGACTTCCGCTCTTGCCTACAAGAGCGACGACATCATCTTCTCTTCTCTTCCCAAATCATGCATCTACATCAAATATGGCTAACGAAACAGAGCTGCTGGTACCGACAACCTTGGCAACGCTCACACAGCAACCACCACCAGAAGAATGTCGCCTGGATCTTCCAGATCGACTAGGACGTAAATATCACACCATGCTCTCTTCTTCTCCAGATCCGACGCACAAGTGACGCACGCACATCAATCATCCCCGACCCTCAGCAACGGGTCCCCTTCTTTGCGGGTCCAGCAAAGCCCGCAACCTAGGCTGGATGTACATTACATACGAGTAGTGCGCGCCCATGCGCATAACAACAACGCCCATCACGATCACCGCTGATAGTCTCCCCCACTTCTCAAATCAGCCCTATCGCTCACTGCTGTACGTGCCGGCTCGTTCGGCTCCCGCTCGCGTATATATAGCGTACATGCTATAATATAACTACATATATATCTATGCCGATCACACCCCCGTAAAGACCTTTGACTCTGGCACGCGCGGATCACCTGTTCGACGTTCGTCATGCATGCGAGAGAGAGCACGGGACGCACCCGAAGACTTCCGACGAGGGGGGATCCCTGACGGGTGTTACATCGCCGTACGTAGCGGTACCGTCGCAGTGGTGATGTGCGTACATACCTATGTGTGTGGGTGTGGGTGGAGTTGGTGATGAGCGGAGCCGCCTGCGACGGCGTGAGATAAGGTTAGGCAAAGGCTGTGTGTGTTAGAGAATACGTGCGTGCGGGGCTCGGGCTCGTCAGACAATACTCGTGCGGTTGTTTTTCATGGCTAGCGCCTTGGTCTTTGAAGGGAGGAATTGCCGTTGTTGGATTGATGATTTTATTTTGTGCCTGCTGAGATCCGTCCACGGCTTTTGTACCTCGGCAGAATGGTACCGCCGTAGAGTAGTACCGCCGCAGAAGAGTGTATAACTACTGCCGCAGAATGTTATTTCCCTAGGAAATGTTGAACGCCTTCAAAGTAGACCCGCTCTTGGAGACGCCGTTAGCACAAAGGTGATTCAAGACGACTCCTCACCGCCGTCCTCTCCCACGCTCCCTTCGTTTTTCCCCTTCTTCGGTTTCGCCTTCGCGAACATGTCCTTCACAGCCGCCGCACCCTTCTTCTTCGTCGTCGTCGTCGTCTTCGTCTTCGTCTTCGCACTCTTCTTCTCTCCCCTCCGATCAACCTGGTCCTGCACCCTCTCCCTCTCGCCCCTCCCACGCTCCTGCAGCTCCGCATCCAGCCGCTGAAACTCCTCGCCCTCGACATCCATCCCCACCAAGCTTTCCAGCAGCTTGATCTCCCGCGCCCACACGCCCTTGTCCTCGACCGTCTTCTTCGGATCCGCCGGGTCCGGGCCATCGATGGGCGTCTCGAGCACCATGGGCAGGCCCTGCAGACGCGGATCGTTCATGACGTTGTGGAACGCGCGCAGGCCGAGGAAGCCGGTGCCGATGTTGGCGTGCAGGTCGCGGCCGGAGCCGAGCGGGGCCTTGGAGTCGTTGACGTGCAGGGCCTTGAGGTAGGCGAGGCCGACGACGCGGTCGAACTCGCTCATGACGCCCGCGAAGGCGGCGGGCGTGCGGAGGTCGTGGCCCGCGGCGAAGACGTGGCAGGTGTCGAGGCAGACGCCGACGCGCGACTTGTCGGCGACGAGGGCGATGACGGCGGCGAGCTCGTCGAAGGTGCCGCCGATGGTGTTGCCGGAGGGGACGGCCATGGTTTCGAGGAGGGTGAGGACGGCGCCGCTGGAGGGGTCCTGGTGCGAGCGGTTGAGTTGGGAGGCGAGTTGGTGGAGGGCGGCTTCGCGGGTCGAGCTGGCGGCGTTGCCTGGGTGGAAGTTGTAGAGCTGGATGCCGAGTTGGTTGCAGCGGGAGAGGTCGTCGGCGAAGGAGTCGTAGGCTTGTTGCGCGCGGTCGGGGTCCGTGTGTGCGAGGTTTACGAGGTAAGAGCCGTGGGGGACGATGTGCTTGTTGCTCTCGAACTTGTGGTGGTTGCATTGCTGCTTGAACATGGTGATGGCCTCGGATGTAATTGGCGGGTTTGCCCACTTGCGTTGTGACTTGAGGAATAATGCGAAGGCATTGCCGCTGCAGCACTGTCAGACGAGCCGGTTCCTTGCTCTTACGAATGACTTACCCGACGTGCACCGAGTTTGTCACTGCGTTCTGGACGCCTCCTGCTGCGCTGACATGCGCTCCGACGAACAGTTTTGACCCCACGGTCCTTGCTGCCAGTGGCAACATCTCGGCCTCTTTCTCTTCCTTGGTCTTCCGCTTGCGTGTGGTCTTTTTGGCAGCGGCACCGTCTTCCTCGTCCTGTTCTTCTCCCTTGACTTCCTCCTCAGCTTCAGCCTCGGCTTTGACTTTGACAGCTCTCTTGGTAGGTGATTTTTTGCGGTTCTGGGATGCAGAGCCTTTTTTTGGTGTAGTCTGAGTGACTTCCTCTTCCTGCTCTTCTTCGCTTTCTTCGGCGTAGCTCGGCCGGGGTCCTCGCGTAGCTCTCTTCGCACGTTTTGCGGAGGAACTGATAGGCTCGGAATCTCGCTTTCGGCCTCTAGGCTTCTTTGTCGATGGCTCAGCCTTCCCAGCCAACGTCGCTGTTGTGGTGTCCAAAGATGTGAGGTCTGCTTCAGTCTGTGGAAGAGATGGTTCAGAGGATGAACCCGCCATGGATAAGGTGAGAAGCCTAATGGCACACAAGATTGTGAGAATCAATGTCAAGTGAGGTCGCAGCAGTAGCACGAGCAAACGTTGAAAAGTCCCCGGGTTTAGAAACAAGATGAGGTTCGGACGGGAAAGACGCGGAGTAGACGCGTCATGCAAGGGCCAATCAGATTATAAGCTGAGCGCGTCGGCCGCAGTGTTGCCGAACCGCCGTTATCGATAAGCGGACCCTCTCGATTTTGAGCAAAAATGTCGGCGACCCTTTGCGCCGTCGCCAGCCCAGCACCTTGCGACCGCGAAACAGCTCCCCGCGCAGGATTCTGCAGGCTTGTGTCCAGCCCTCAAAATGCCGAAAGCCGCGAAGAACAAGAAAAACTCCGCACCGGGGAGCGGCCCCTACGCCGCCGCCGCCGCCAAGTCGAAGGCCGCCCACTCCATCTTCAAATTCAACACCGACCTCGGCCAGCATATTCTGAAGAACCCCGGTGTCGCGCAAGCGATTGTGGACAAGGCAGACCTCAAGCAGAGCGATGTATGTCTGAGTGCTAACCCTGTAACCTGCACCACTGACAACGCGTCCGTGAACCCAGGTCGTCCTCGAAGTCGGTCCCGGTACCGGTAACCTGACGGTCAAGATTCTGGAGAAGGCAAAGAAGGTCATCGCTGTGGAGATGGACCCGCGCATGGCGGCCGAAGTCACAAAGCGCGTGCAGGGCACGCCGGCGCAGAAGCGGCTGGAGGTGATTCTGGGCGACGTGATCAAGACGGAGCTGCCGTACTTCGACGTCTGCATCTCGAACACGCCCTACCAGATCTCGTCGCCACTGACGTTCAAGCTGCTCGCGACGCAGCCCTCGCCGCGCACCCTGATTCTCATGTTCCAGCGCGAATTCGCCATGCGCCTGCTCGCCAAGCCGGGGGACAAGCTGTACAGCAGGATCAGCGTCAACTGCCAGATGTGGGCAAAGGTCGATCACATCCTGAAGGTCGGCAAGAACAACTTCAACCCCCCGCCCCAGGTCGAGTCGTCGGTCGTCCGCATCGTGCCGAAGAACCCGCGCCCGCAGATCAGCTACGACGAGTGGGACGGGCTGCTGCGCATCTGCTTCGTCAGGAAGAACAAGACAATGAGGTCGAGCTTCTTCGGGACGTCCAGCGTCATGGATATGCTCGAGGCCAACTACAGGACTTTCTGCGCCCAGCATGATATTCCGCTGGACGACAGCCCGCTGGACCCCAACGACACTGCTATGGAGGTCGAGGAGCAAGAGGAGGAATGGAACGGCATTGATGAGGATATGGACATCGAGGAGGAGGACATTCCTGCCTTTTTCAAGGAGCAGGCGGCCGAGAAGGCAAAGTTGAAGAAGAACGCCACGCCAAGGAAGAAGAAGGGCAAGGTGTCCGAGTTGGTGCGTGAGAAGGTTCGCAAGGTGCTCGAAGACGAAACCGAGCTTGCGGAGAAGAGATCAAGGATGTGTGAGGAGGGCGATTTCCTGAAGTTGCTGTATGCTTTCAACAAAGAAGGCATTCACTTCAGCTAATTGGGACATCGCTACGGCATTTGTTGTACATGCGATTTGCGAGCATATATGGCGTTAAAGGGAGGCTCAGGTGGGGAAAATGGCGTTACTTGACTGGCAAGTAGATACCTTTTTCGTTACGCAATTTGAATGCATTTTATCTAAAGTACAACAGGCCTTTAGCACCGCTGTTTGCGTCACAAAAGATGGCGGAACCTGCTGCATTTCCGGGTTGAAGCTCCGGAGGGCTATGGACCTTGCAATCGAACATGCTTCGTGGAGAAATGTCTCGCTATCTGCCAGCAGGCACAAAGTACTAGCAGCTGCCTACTTGAGAGACATGAACCAAAAGGCCAAATATGGTGAGACAGCGTCCGGCAGACGGCAGAACAATGGATCAGATTTAGGCAGCAACGATGGCTCACATGTATCTATTGATCGTCGTGGTGTCTTTCTCCAATAAGGACTTCTGGCGCTGCTCGTCGGCGTGTGACGAGGCGGCCTCGCGGGGCAGTGGCTTAAAAGGGTGGTTGTATCAGCGAAGAGTCATCGCCTGGATAGTCGTCGGTATTTCGGCGTGTAGAGCTCACTTCCAGAACAGGAAATCGGCAGTGTCGCGTCCATGTTTGGCACAGGTGGGTAGGTGTCTGGTCCGCTCGACGTGGAAACGGGCGTGACATGCAGCCGGCGGTGTGGAGGCAGGCCATGGCTTTGAGGAGAGAATGGATCACTACTCACGCATGCGCGACTTTTGTCCAAGCGGCAGCTGCGTGTAGCCGGCTGGCGACAGGCCATTGGCTGGGGTTGACAGGGGCGGTGGAAGAGCTGCATGCCGGCGGATAACCTTGCTTGCGACAGATCATCTACACCCCGTACCATTCGACTCACCCCTGGGGAAGGCCCAGCAGGTTTCGCCTTTTCTTCAGCGCGGGCGGCCTCCCGAAAAGCAAAGCAGACGGTTCATGTTGCAATTAGGGCGAAATGACGGCGGGCAACGGGCAGATGAAACGGGCTGCAGCGCCCAGGCCCCGGGCTGGCAGGCGGGCGGCCGTCCCCACGATCCGGTGCCACCACGCCAGCCAATGACGGGCGTGCAGCGGGCCCAGGCGACGGGGATTGTGGGCGGGATGGCAGATGGAGCCTCAGAGACGAGGCCGCCGTTGCGATCCGTGAGCTCTCACCCTCGTGCTCCGCGCCCATAAACTCTTATCGACCCTCTGCCCTCCACGCCCGCGTCCCGCCGTCCCAGCCTTCGCTCACCGCGCCCGCCCCCCTCCCCCATCATCCTGCACTCTTTGCTCGCCCGCGACGCCGCTCGGCGCCGCCACCACCCGTCGCTACTTTTCGCGTCCGTGTCGAGATTTGTAGCTTTTTACGCAGACCCACGAGTACGTCGTAGAAGTCCTCCGCGCGCCATTGCGACCCGCATCGCACCATTCGCGCCAGGCTAACACGTCCGCCTCATAAGTCCGCGGGGCCTCGCGCCATGCATCAATGTTAAGGACTGCACTCCTCCAAGCTTGGGATGCATCTGTAGCTGCCCATGGCGGCGTCCGCCCAAGCTCCGCGAGCTCCGACTCCTCTACGAGCCAGGCAGCCGCGCCCTCCCTCGCTCCCACACTCGCCCTCTTCGCACGACAAGACGCTGCCATTCGGCTCGTGCAACTCCCGCGACCACACCAACTTCGGCCTCAATGCCCCGACCTGCGCCTGCAAGCGCTTCTGGAGGGACCCTCACCGCCCCGAGGATGGTGGTGGTGATGGAGACGTCGAGTACCCATGGTGCATCTGCGGCCACCACGCCTGCTTCCACGACGCCCCCGACACCGCTGCCTCCCGCTCGCACCACCAGTCCATTCGCCCCACGCCGCATTCCCCCGTAGACCTCGTCCAGGTCAGCAATGGCTGGTACGTCGATCGTACCCGGCTCGACCTCACAACCCACGACATACAACATACCCCCAGGAGGAGGGGCCAATTCACACGCAGTCTTTCCGGCGACACCACCGCCGAGGATGGAGAACTCGCGGTGGCCCGCACAAGACCGGCCAATGCTACATCCGGCCTGAGTCGCAATGACAACTCAGATCTCCACATTTCTGGTTTCCCAAGCGTCCCGTCCATCTGCTATCCGACCCCCAGACGTGCCGTGCACTCCGGCGCCGATACCAACCGCCCTGTGGATTACCAACCTCCGCAACAGCCTCCGAGGTTCGACCTGGAGATGCAATCAACCACCGAACGTCCTGATCAAACGCGCAGGGCGGAGACGGATGCTCTGAAAGAATGGCACAAGACACTGGAACGCGCGAGAGGACAATCTCAGCTGGCCTCTACCGTCCGATATTCGACAGATGGGGAGAGCGACCGTCCTCGCAATAGCCCGAGTCGAGCTTTCCTCGACCACGTCCTGCAGTCGCGCCGCGCTGCAGCTCAGGCGGAAGCTCCATCCACTGCCGTGAAGAGAGAAGACCCTACGCAGAATGCCATGGACCTAGCTACGTCTAGTATTGTCGACACTCAAGATGTCCAAACCTATGACCAACATCTGCACGAAACGACCTCCTTGATCGACAATGTTGTTCGGGGGATCGCGTCTGTGGAGAACGCCAGTTTGGGTCCTGAAGAAAACGAACTTGCCCTTTCTCCAACCCAGCCGAACACATCGCAACGCAGTTCGAGACATGCAGGCGACAGAACACCCGATGCTCGGGCTGACTCTGTTGCTGCCGTTCCGATGAGCGTGCCGTGGGCCCTTCGCAAACTTGCACCTCAGTTGCTCAGTTTGAAAAGGCATCTCGCGGCACAGCCTAATATTTCCACGACGATTCAAAACATGTCTGACCGCCTCTGGATGTTAGAAAATGCATCCTTTCAACACGTTCCGGCTGAAGAGATCTGTGACAAGTTCGACCTGATGGATGGCCGACTTCTCGAGGTCGAGCAACGTCTGATCGATCTTGATCGGCCGCAGGAGGACTCACAGACATCCATGGTTCGGCGCGATGCTACTGAAGATAAATCGTTTTACGGCGAATGTTCTGAGAGCCTCGCCAAAATCGAGCACCGTCTTCAAGACCTCGAGTGTTCAGTGCCATCCACCTCGTATCCCTGGGAAATCGAGGTTGTGCTGTTACCCTGGGGACGAGACCTTCATGGCATCTGGTTTACCAAGTCAGAGTTGTCGGCGAAGTCTCAGAGGTCCCGTTCCAACCGTGGCTCTTCGATTTCTCCGCCCCGGATCAAAGGCACCGAACATGGTCGGACCTCTCATCATCACCAGAATCACCATGATGGCTTGGAATACGAAAAACTTTTCCCAAAAGCATGCGGACCGCGAAACAAAGTGTGGCACCGTCTCAAAAGCAGGGGTTTCGTCAAGAATGTAGTAATTACGGAACCAGGAGCCCGTCACATCTTAACCACCATTGATGAGGCCTTTGGTGAGAGTATTTTGGAAGTTGCTGGAGATTCCTCTCATATTGAGGATGATGAGCTGTACCCTGGCGGCCTAACAGCCCCTGTTATTCCACTTCGAAAGGTCCAGAAAGACATGCAACTCCGGTTCCTGCCCGCCTCGGAGATGATAAGCCCAACGCTGTGGAACGCCGAGTTCCTTGCTTGCGACGTCATTCACCATGTTCGCGGGAAGAAGCGCCTCTACGTCACCGGAAGCTGCGCCTACATCCAGCCGGACGCTGAGGAGTGTGGTTCCACATGGCAAGACATCAAAGATCTGCCACGTGTTGACATGTATTCATCTGCTGATGAGGACGCCCAGGCTCCCGAGTCGGGCTACGAAGGGGACTGGTGGGACTGGCATCCGAGCTTGGATCCCCCGCTTGAGACAGTCTCGTCGTGCAACACTCCCAATAATTCTGGTTCGGCCAACTCATCTTTCGACTCTGCAACATCTCTACCATTGCGCCATCCTACAAACGAGCTTCCAGACCCCACGCCCATTTGGGAGTTTTCAGACCAAGAAAGGTCGAGTAGCCCTCAAACGGATGCCGCTCCGCGATCACCTCGTCCCTTCAACCGCACAATGCCGGCGCCAACGACCCAAGTACAAATCACGAAGCTCGCCTCCAAGCGACGAGCCGGGAGCTCATTTGATGAAGTTCCGCCACCCTATCCATCAAAGGAAGCAAAAGAACCAGATTGGATCGCAGAAGACTACAGGAAAAAACGGCGCCGCCATACAAGCCGGTCCAGCGGTAGCGCTGGCGACTCGGCCGGCGGCGATGCAAGAGACGGGCTTCTGCCCACACCCCGCCACTCAATTGAACCCACGCCCCGTGTCAGTTACCTTGGATCCCAGGGCAGCCTGAGGTTTCCGGTCGACTCGCCGCCCGCGGGCGTGTCAGGGAATCAAGCCCAATGTTCTGCCAAGGCCAGAAATCCCTACGGCTCGCCGTGCAGCGGCCCGGTGGGCATCTCGAACGAGCCTCCGTCGTATACTGACCGGCAGTGTCATGACACGGAGCCGGATGATTTCGAGGACGAGAGCCACTCGGACGGCGACAATGACAAGGATGGGACCTGTGACGACGACGACAACAACAACAACAATAGCATGGTGCGATACGACGGAAAAGAAAGATTGAAAGGTGAGAAACGCCCGACCAAAGGGATGGACGGCGACGACGAGATGACGGACGAGTGGCAGGGCTGCATCTCGGAGGTGAGCCAGGTCGACTGCGTCCAGCGCCCTGACTCCCCTTCAGTCAAGCGGGAGAGGGACAGTCCGACACGGAACCCGTATGTGTGCTCTCAACCCCCTCTATATCATAACCTCTTGCTAACTCGACGCGTAGATGGATCAATAGTGTGCCAAGCCAGTAGCAGGATGCATGAGCTGTGCAGCAAAAAACCTTTCTTTGGTTCTGGAACGCTGCTTAGCCGGGGCGTTTTCCGCGTTTATACCCCCCACTTCTTCCCACATATGGGTCCAGCGCGGATGCTGTTGAGAATCTGTATTATGTTGATGTTTGTTGGCGAAAATTCGTAAGCTTGCAAACTACTTACTCCCTGGCGTTTCTTGGCTGTTTTGTCTTTCCTGCTCTTATTGGGGACAGCTTTCTCTCCAATCTTCCTGGCGTTCTCCTCGTATATCCTTGAATTTCTCTTCTCTTTTTCGTTTAGCGAGCGTGCCGTGGACGTCATCTCGACCCATCTGTACAGTACATATATGGTTCGCGGCGGATTGTCTTTTGTTCCTCGCTTTCCTTCTTCTTGTTTTAGTTCTACTTTGTAGACGTTTGTGGTGGTCTCGCTCCGGATTGTAAATGAGAGAAGATGGAGGTCGGACGGAGAGGCATGCATGCGGCGGCGGTGAAAATGAAAGGCAAGGGATAGATGCAGTGGTCGGATGAGGTTATGGGGACAGAACTCTCCACACAGATTTGCATGGGCGCTTTTGTTTGTTCCTTTCTTTTTCCCGTCCCGTGCATTGTATAGTAGGCAGGACCAGACTCCCTAGGAAGTAGATGGGCAAGGGCAGGTGGGAGGGGAGGGGTTTGTGCAGAATCTACCACTCCTTTTAGAAGCTGGTGATGTTGCGAGTATTTGTGGATGAGGCGGGAAGCGATGATGTCTGTAATGCCCCCGCCAGGTTACATGTCAGCTTCCCAACCGTCCCAAACCGGAAGCCGCAACAAGCCGACCAAAACGCCATGCATGGATGCGACGATTGCGCCGCACAGTCAAGCCCGCCATTGCACATGCATCACAGTTATTGCCCTATGTGGGTTATTGCCTCGATGGAGTTGCTTCCAGGGTGCTCGTTTGCGGTAGTGTTGGAGTCGATATACAACATCGAGGTATATGGCACGTGACTCTATCGGAGCGGATTCCGCCTCCGCCCTGGCTCCGCTTTACTCGCAGTATTAGAGGCACAGGTTGATTCACAGCGACTCTTCCGGGAACTGATCGCTCGACTTGCAGTACTGTCGCACGAGTATGAAGGAATCACCCTCTGAACACACCATGGCTTCGGAATACCGACCGCTTCGACCGGCGCCACCCCAACCCACCGGGCACTACCACAACTCGGGCCATGCGGCAGCGAACGGCGCCAGTAAATGCCGTAAAAGACTGATCAACGCGGCGTGTGACGCATGCAGAAGACGAAAAACAAAGGTACATACATACATGCATGCGCGGCATCATCAGTATATCATGACAACAACAACAACGACACCAACACAAAGCCCGATCCAGGAACGCCAGCTGACATCAGAGCCCGCGTGCGTGGCTCTCCGCACTCGACACAGTGCGACGGACACCGGCCGACGTGCGGCCAGTGCCGCGCGCGCCAGACCGACTGCGCCTTCGACACGGCCGACCCGACGCAGACGCGCGCGCAGGCGGCCAAGCTGCGCGCCGACCGCCTCGCCTCCGACCTCAGCGACGCCACGCGCATCCTCAACCACCTGCGCTCCGCGTCCGACGCGCAGGCCGCCCTCGTGCTGGCCCGCCTGCGGGCGAAGGAGCCGGCGGCCTCGATTGCTACTTCCTCCGCGTCGTCGTCGGCGACCCGCGCGCGCCGCCCGGCGCTACTGCTGGCGTGCAGAGCGGGTTTGATGATGATGATGATGATGATGATTCGCATGATCATGATGAGACTTCGTTCGCTCATGGCGGCGCTGGTGCGGGGGATCCGCCGGACAATAATGATTACATCTGGCAGCTCTGACAGAAAATACACTGCACCTCGGGCGCGTAGGTACGACTACCGCATCTGATGACTAATTCGGTTAGCTTTCTTGGTTTTCTTGAGAGGTGTGGGCACTGTTCATCAAAATCGTGTCGTGACATGTCTTTTTTGCTGTTTTTCCCGGCCAAGTCGTCGTCGACGGGCGGCCTATTCCTGGTTCGGGGTGCTCCGGCACAAGCGAGACGCAATGACCTGCCAGTCAATCGGTGGGCGTAGCGAGGTCAAGCTGGGGGAGATCAGACAGCTCTCCGGGTAGGGTCCCAGAAGCCGGGGTCGTGGGTACCTGCATTAGGCCTGGATGCATGATCCTGGCTCGCAGCTTGTCATCCGCTGTTGTCGAGCGGGCAGAAACACGGTTGGCCTGCCGATTGATTCTTTGGTGGAAAAATGCAATGCAGATGGCTGCGCTGCCCCGCATTCACGGACCTCCGCTATGCTGCTTCGAGCTCCGCTTCTCCGCAGCCTGTACGCTGGTGCCGTCGCTTAGAGGCCATTCATCTGCTCTCCGCCCAGCCAAGCCATCCATCCACCATGAGCCCCGTCCTCAAACCAGGATCTTATACGAGTCCGCCCATGCCACTTTAACCGACCGAGGGCGGCCCAGCACGATGCAGCTCTCGGCGCGCAGTATATATGAACGAGGCCATGCCATGGCTGCTCACTGACACTTTGAGCGGGAAAGCATCCACAACTCCAAGATGCTGCGCCTGCGACACTTGCTCGCCCTGAGCTCCGCTCTGCTGCCTCTGGCCGCCACCGCCCAGGAATGGCCGGTCCAGGACAGCGGATACACCGACGCAGTCCAATGGGACCACTACAGCTTCATCGTCAACGGCAAGCGCGTCTACCTCTTCGGCGGCGAGATGCATCCCTTCCGCCTGCCCGTGCCCGAGCTGTGGCAGGACATTGTGCAGAAGACCAAGGCCCTGGGCTTCAACACCTTCTCCTTCTACACCAACTGGTTCTTCCACAACCCCCACCCCAACCAGACCGACTTTGAAACCGCCGCCCACGACATCAGCCGCCTGCTCGAGTACGCCAAGGACGCCGGTCTTTTCGTCGCCGTGCGCCCCGGCCCCTACGTCAACGCTGAGCTGAACGCCGGCGGTTTCCCCCTGTGGGTCACTACCGGCGCCTACGGAGAGCTGCGCGACGACAATGCCACCTACGAGGCTGCCTGGACCCCGTATCAGGACGGCATCGCCAAGGTCGTCGCCCCCTACCAGATCCACAAGAACGGCACCGTCATCAGCTACCAGCTCGAGAACGAGTACGGCGAGCAGTGGCTCGACTCGGCCACCAAGACGCCCAACCAGCCCGCCATCAACTACATGGAGGAGCTCAATGCCAACGCTCGCCGAAACGGCATCGAGGTGCCCACCACCCACAACAGCCCCAACCTGCAGGATTTCTCGTGGTCGAAAGACCAGGACACGGTCGGTGCCGGCGGCAACGTGAACGTCTTGGGGCTGGACAACTACGTGAGTATTGGCCCATTCGCGTTCCCGGCAGGCGAAACTGACATGCGGACAGCCCCTTTGCTGGTCTTGTGATCAGTCCGAGTGCACCGGCGTCTCCAACGACTACAACCTCGTCGAGTACTACAGCTGGTTCCAGAACAACACGCCGCACCAGCCGTCGCTGATGCCCGAGTTCCAGGGCGGGCGCTACAACCCGCTCGACGGCGACGCGGGGCAGTGCCTGGAGCCCATGGGTCCCGAGTTCCGCAACCTGTTCTACCGCCACAACATCGACCAGAAGGTGACGGCCCAGATCCTCTACACGCTCTTCGGCGGCACCAACTGGGGCTGGATGGCCGCTCCTTTCATCGGCACCAGCTACGACTACGCAGCCCCCATCGCCGAGGACCGCTCCCTGAGGGACAGCTGGTACGAGACGAAGAGCTTGGCCCTGTTTACCAGGGTTGCTGAAGACCTCCGCGAGGCGGACCGCGTGGGCAACAGCACCGCCTACACCACCAACGACGAGGTCACCGCCACCGAGCTCCGCAACAAGGCCACGGGTGGCGCCTTCTACATCGCCCGGCACGCCGATTCCGTCACAGGCAAGCCCGTGTCGTTCAAGCTGCACGTAGACACGTCCATCGGCAGCCTGACCATCCCGCAGAAGGCGGCCGAGATTGAGCTCAACGCCCGCGAGGCCAAGATCGTGCCCACCGACTTCCGCTTCTCCGGCCAGAAGCTGCTCTACTCGACCGCCGAGGTTTTCACCTACGTCGAGCTGGACGGGAAGCCCACCGTCGCCCTTTGGGTGCCGGGCGGCGAGGGCGGAGAGTTCCTCCTCGAGGGCGCGGCCAACATGTCGGCAAAGGCAGTGCCCGCCGACGCCGTCAGCTTCCACCAGAGCCAGCACGGCCTGATCGTCAGCTTCGCCAACCAGACGGGCACCACCGTCGTCGACACGGACAAGGCCCGCTTCGTCATCCTGGACCGCACCGACGCCTGGAAGACCTTCGCCCCGGTGCTCACCCCCGACCCCCACGCCCCCGTCAACGAGACCATCCTCGTGCAGGGCCCGCATCTCGTCCGCACCGCCGCCATCTCCGGCGACACCCTCATCCTCACCGGCGACACCAGCTCCGACACGACCCTCGACGTCTTCGCCCCTGCCGCGGTCAAGACCGTGACCTGGAACGGCGAACCCCTCTCCACCACCCCCACCGCGCACGGCAGCCTCTCCGCCAGCCTCCCCGGGCCCCTCGCCGTCACCCTCCCGCCGCTCTCCAACCTGACCTGGCGCTCCGCCCCCTCCCTCCCCGAAATCGCACCCAACTACACCCTCTCGCCCGCCGTCTGGAAGCCCGCCAACGCCACGACTACGCCCTCGCAATACACCTCCGCCACGACGCCCTACCTCTACATCGACGCCCTCGGCTTCCACGTCGGCCACCACCTCTACCGCGCCACCTTCGCCGGCTCCCCCGCCCTCACCGGCCTCTTCCTCGCCCTCCAAGGCGGCACCGGCTTCGGCTGGTCCGCCTACCTCAACGGCCGCTTCCTCCACGCCGAGCCCGGCTCCTCCCCCGCCGCCCTCGAAGCCACAAACGCCACCATCCCTTTTCCCGCCAACTCCTCCGCCCTCCTCCCCGGCACCGACAACGTCCTCGTCGTCCTCATGGACAACTCCGGCCACGAGCAGCGCGCCGAGGCCCTCGAGGTCCGCGGCATCACGAACGCCACGCTCCTCTCCTCGTCTTCGTCTTCCGCCCCTGCAGCCTTTTCATCCTGGCACGTCGCCGGCACCGCCGCCTCCGCCGACGCCACCACTACCCTCCTCGACCCCGTCCGCGGGCCCTACAACGAGGGCGGCCTCCACGGCGAGCGCGCCGGCTGGCACCTCCCCGGCTTCGACGACTCGGCCTGGTCCATCGCTTCTCCCACCTCCGGCAGCAGCAGCGGCGCCGTACTCCGCGCTGGTGGCGGTAGTACCACCGCCGAGTCAGACGTCACCTTCCACCGCGCCACCGTCGCGGCGCTGGACATCCCGCGCGCCCACGACGGCACGGTGCATTTCTCGCTCGGCGTGCCGGAAGGTGGGAGCGAGGATGTCAGGGCGTTGTTGTTCGTCAACGGGTACCAGTTCGGTCGGTACAGGCCCGGGGTCAGCACGGCGACGGACTTTCCCGTCCCGCCGGGGGTGTTGGATTTTTCGGCGGGCGGGGAGAATACGCTCGTCGTGGCGGTGTGGGCGGTGGGCGGGAGGGAGGTGGGGGTTGAGATTGGGTGGAGGGTCGAGGGGGTGGTGAGGGGCGGGTTGGGGGTGGGGTTTGAGAGTGGGGGTGAGGGGGGGTATTTGAGGCCCGGGTGGGGGGTGGAGAGGGGGGTGTTTGCTTAGGTGGATGCGGGGGGTGGATGGATGCGGGGAGGGGAGGGGAGTGGAGGGGAGGCTGTGTGGAGCGGGTGGTTTTGGGACTGGAGTCTGGATAACGGAGATTACCTATCGCAGCAGGTCTCGGCAGTCGTTTGTGAATACAAAATGCAGCATTATTATTTACTTGGAGTTAATGGACAGATTAACCGTACTCTTTTTTGTGGTATATATTGCTGTCCAACATACGTTCATACGACGCTCGGAAACTTGACCACGAAAAGCAAGGGTAGATGGCTGATCAGTCGAGTCCGCAATATGGCCAGCAAGATTGCTTGGAGTCAGTCGGTCGGAGATAGGCTTCACGTCTGGATCTGGAGACTGGCGGTTTGGTAGTGTTTGGCCGTGTCAGAAGCATGAGTTGGTGCGATGTCGGCCCGCATATCACGGGGGGTTGGTTAGTAATTCTACAAATTTGAGGTGTTCTCTCTACTACATAGGGGAAAGGTGTAAATAGTCTTCGTTTGGAGGATTGATGGCTACCCGCTCTGGTGCCTGGTCAAGAAGAAATCGATGACATTGATACATGCATATTCTGAAGCATATTCCGGACTAAGCCCTTTCAAGATCCCCCCTCTCAAGACCGGGAACATTCACTCCGGTCGGCGGTATCTTGCTCAAGAATCCCTTCGTGTAGACAGCTGCCACCGTCGCAGCGTACAATTGCCAGCGTTCGTCTACATGTGAATCGAAGTAATCGCTGATCCCTCGAATCACAATGCAAGGAAAATGGTTCATGAGCCCAGCAGCTTCTCTTTCAAAACAAAAAACCCCAAGCTCTTTTCTTAGACGATCTTTATAGGGTGCGTGATTTCCAGAAGCGATGAGTCCATAATGGACGACCGGTCCATTCTGAGAACGTTCCTCTCTGGGCACTACTTTTGCCTGATCACAGCTTTCGCAGGTTTTCTTGCCTTGGGGATGATCATAACCGGGCTGATAGAGCTTGTCGTGTGAGGCATCGCACTTGAGTGCTTCAGCTTGGTTGGCTCCCCGCCGCCGATAGTCTTCAAGGGGCTGCGGAAGGTCGCCGGATTTGTTGAAGACGAGCTCGGATTCCATCGCCGAGACGGCGGTTAAAAGCACCGGGGGCGGTCTGTTGAGCATGCCAGTACGCTCGAAGCCCCGAGGGGTGTCTTTTCCGAGGTCGACTTGTATCACACCGCCTTTAGTCATTAGCCAAGCACGACTGGGTAGACTCAAGTCGGCCTTACCGTATATTCCCTGTGGCTTGCTCACTACGACGTCTCCAAGCCGAATATCGTCGGCATCGTTGTTCTCACTTGGCAGCCCACTTGCAATGCCAACCATCAAGCCGAAACGAAGGTTGGGGAATGTTCTCATCATGTGAGATGCAACCATGGCGGCGGAACTGGTATCATTCTTTCCAGCAGGAAGGCAGGCAAGTGCGACGTTATGACCGTGGATTTTCCCAAAAACATATATGTTTGGGTCTTCGGCTATCGCTTTGGGAGGAGCTGGGTGCACTTCGTCTAGCATCTCCTTGGCCGCAGCACTGTCTATCGGAAACGCAGAAATCCAACCGACTGTATAATCCTCGAACGTAAGGTTTTTGCTGTAAGCCAGTGGGGTCGCCGTAAGCTCTTGTGTTTGCGGTATGTTTTCTGATGCGAGACCTCGTTCGTTGGCTTCTAGCACATCAGGACTGTTGCTCGGAGATTGCACTTTGTTGCCTTTTAAGATCATTTTCGTCGGATTGGACGTCATCTTAGAGTTTCCAAACTCAAGCGGCGGAGGAGGGTCGTCGAATAACAGGAAACTTGGTATTGGAGCGGCAAGGAATCTCTATGCACTGAAAGTCAGTAAAGCATTGCCAAATAAGTTACATTTGTCTTATCTCGACGAACCGAGCAAAAAGAATAAAGATCTTTAGTACAGTGATACAACGTGCTAATGACAAGCGGTACGAAGTTGAGTACATCGAGGAAGTCAGTTCGAGTAGGTGTACGAGCTAATATATCTCTCGACAAACCACACAACATTATCCAGCTATTCTAGATGTGCAAAGCCGCCTCCTCGACACCTCGATTAGCAGCATGATTCTGATTGGCTGCAACGCCATTCTAGGCGCTTATAAGGGAACCGCGGCTCCGCACTTGACAACCTCATTTCTAAAACGTGTGTCTTGAGCAACGAATCACAGCCATTTGTAACTCTGACGCCTGAAATGCTTGGGAAATACACACAATGATGCCTGCTCATGTTCGGTTGTTGGCGCTTAAACGATAATCATTCCGGCCTTGGGGCAATCCTTGTACCTGAAGTGGAGTTAAGCGATACGCGTAGAATTTTAGTGCCATTTGAAGCGCTGATCACAGTGGGTCTTCCGCAGCCCATCACGGCTGACAGCGAATGAGGGGACACTTCGGTGTGAACTAGCTTTCTCCCCCTGCTAAGTCGCCTTCTATCTATATTGTCTATCCACATACATACGCTTACTACAAGAGTGAAGAGCCGTATCTACGAATCCATAGAAATCACCGATTTTCTATCTCATACTGTGTCTGTAAAGCACTGCAGGTTCAGTTGAGTCCTTTTCCGTAGTTTGGCGAACAGTAAAGTAAAGAAAGAATAGTGGTCAGAGTGTGGTAGGAATATAGTGTGTATTGAGTCTAGACGGGAGACGACGAGCATCATGCTAGAAGTGAAAGGTTGAGGAGAACAACAAACCCTCCGGAACTCCGCAGCATGATCACGATACCCCGATATCGCCGAAGCCACCAATGATGTACCATTCTCAGCGCCATGAATGTCCCTTCCACTGCAGAAAGACTGTCGGGATCATGCTGATTCCAACAATCAACGCAGTGCAGATACCAGCGCTGCCATACAGCCCCACATTCTCAAGCATGTCCGGAAACCTAAATCCCACCGCGTTAGCAAAGCCCACAACAAACAGAGAAGAAAGAGAGAAACTACTCCTCTCCAACTCACCAAAACGGCCCAATAAACCCCCACGTCTGCCTCACAAACGTCACAAACACGCCCACCCCCGCCGCCTCCTCCCTATAGCAATCCACCGCATACGTAATCAGCACCGTCGTCACGATCTGGTTCCCCACCGCCGCCACCGCCGCCCCAATCACCGGCGTGATGTTCCACCGCCCCTCCCTCGCCGCCCCCGTCTGCACGAGAAACACGACGACGCCAGCGATCGCGAGCAGGTACCCGCCGTAGCTCAGCCACAGCCTGAACTCGGGCCTCTCTTCGCTTCCCCCGGTCCGTTTGCGGCGGCGCTGCATCCACCAGTCGCTCATGCGGCCGCCCATCTGCTCGCCGATGACGGAGCCGATGATCAGCGAGAGGTTCTGCAGCCCGATGGCCTGCGTGTTGAGGTGGAACTTTTCGACGAAGATCTGCGGGATCTCGATGCTGATGAGGATGGAGGCGAAGAGGAAGGTGGTGGCGTAGGCGAGGGTGGGGACGAGGACGCGCGGCGCGGCGAAGAAGTGGAGAGGGGAGAGGAAGGAGGAGAGCGTGAGGGGCGTGGGGTCGAGACGGGTGAAGGTGAGGTATTTGCGGGTGAAGGAGGGGGCGCTGGTGGGGGGAGATGGGGTGGTGGTGGGCGTGCGGATGTAGCGCGTTTCGGGGCCGAGGAAGGTGTAGAGGAGGAGTTGGACGGCGTTGGTCTGGGGTGCGTTAGTGGGTGAGGAGAGGCGGGAGAAGGGAGGATGGTGGTGGCTTACGCAGGCGAGGATCCAGTATATCCAGCGATAGCCGACGCGGAGTGCAACGAAGCCGAAGATGAAGGGTGCCGTGGGGACGCCGAGTGTGACGAAAAGGCTGTGTCGTCGTGGTCAGGGTGGATTGGTCGCAGAGGAGTGAGGAAATACGTACGTCCAGACGCCCATGAATTTGGCTCTTTCGTGCTTGAAGAATGTCTCCTGCACAACAGCACTGCCGATGGCGCCGGCGGGAGAGATGAAGAAGGCGGTGATGGCACGGCACAGTCCCATGGTGGCGTAGGATGGGCTCTTCGCACAGCCGGCATTGCCTATGAGGCTGCATATGAGCGAGAGGAGGAATATTGGCCTTCTTCCATAGCGGTCTGACAATGGTCTCCAGAACAGCGGCGCGGCGCCGAGGATTGCTATCACCAGAGACGTCAAGTAGCTGGCACGTTGGAGGCTGACGTTCAAGTCGATGGCGATGTCTGCGAAGGCGGACTGGATGGCAGCAGCAGTGAAGGTTGCCATCATGGCATGAAACGCGACGAGTATGAGGTTGATCACTTTCTGAGCGAATATTAGCTTTCAGTCACCAGACACCGACTTCTTCAAACATGCCTTTCTCTTGGGCCAGTTGTAAGGATCAGCATCGGTCATGTCAGGAACCGGCTGTAGATCGAGTCTGCCATGACGAGCGAGCAGATATTCCTGGTGGGCCTCAGAGAGGGCTTCTCCCGGACCGCCCTTTGCCTCCTCGATATACCGCGAATCATGCGTATCCTTGTGATGGAGGCCAGAAGCGGACGACCGGTCCACTTCATCGACCGAGGCGCTCTTCAGGTTGTCAGACATGACGAAGACGACGAGAAAAGAATCGAAAGAGAAATGTGCCGTACAGCATCTGAGACGTGGGAATGTGCTTCAAGTATTCAACCGGCTGAAGGGATGTGATGCAGCGGGACGGGAGTTCCCACACACCCCGGGACCCCGCAGCGCCTCGAACTGGGGTAGAGACGGCTTGTGGGCCAGTATTATGCATTCAATCAGCCCAATCAGGATGATAGAAGTATTGTGAGCCGTGTCTTGCATCTCCGACCCCTCGGTGTTAAGAATGGGTGAGCTCGGAGAAGCCGATAACCATGCGGGGAGACAATCACTTGCCTGTTCTAGACCGACATGATACTTCTGTCTGGAACAGCTTCCTCTCAGGGCCGGACATCCGAAAATGCTGCATATACAATAACTTGCAGGAGCCCAGTGATATCCCCGGGAAAGGTTGATCCTATTGGTCGCAATGAAGGAGGTGTGGGTTTCGGGAAGGCCACACCTCATTGGCTACCCCGCACTGCTGCGGGATGCCACCACCCGATTCGTTCTCCTCACAGAGTATACTCCTGAGTACGCACCTGCAATGATGGCTGGTCATATAAACACACATAACAGCGTCACGCTTGTTCTTTTACAAACACCAATCTGAAGTGGAAGGAGTCAACATGCATTCATTCTTCCTCGATCTTGCCTCACTTGCGCCTTGCCGTGTGGTTTCTCTCGTCTTGCTGGCTTTTGCCATCTATGTCTTTGGCTACATCATATACCAGCGCTTTTTCCATCCTCTAGCCGGATTCCCCGGGCCCTTCCTGGCCAGCGTCACCGACCTATGGCAGGCCTACCAGTTCCTCACTCTCAAGCAGCCGTACCACCTGACCGATTTGCATGCGAAGTATGGTCCTTTCGTGCGCTACGGCCCAGACAAGCTCAGCGTTACTACTGAAGACGCAGTCTCTGTCATCTATCAGAAGGGTGGGAGATCCATGCCAAAGACGGAGTTCTACGATGCCTATGGAGCAGCACATCCCAACGTGTTTGGCATGCGGGACGAAGCGGTGAGTGCTTTCGAGCTCCTTCAATCTGTCGAAAGTGGCTAGAAGCTCTTGTAGGCGCATTCGATCCGCAGACGCCACATGTCTCACAGTTTTTCCATATCCTCGGTCAAAGAGATGGAAGCAATCTTGGACTCGAATGTGCAGACACTGAAGGAAAAGGTGGCAGGCTTCTGCGACAGGGAAGAAGCCTTCGATCTGAAGAAAGTCCTGCACTACTACACCATCGACGTGCTGGGCGAGCTGGCATTCAGTCAGTCTTTCGGTGTGCAAGTGGCAGACGACGAGACGCTTGTACCGCCAGTCAAAGAACATAGCCTCCTTGCTGCTGTCACTGGAGCATGGCCACTCATGACAATGCGGTTGAAGAGATGGCTGCCGAAGGTGCCAAGCGAGCGGCTGCAGCGATTGTTCAGAGGACGCGCCGCGTGTGCTCAACTGGCATCACGCTGCGTACAGCGAAGACTCGACGCCCTGAAAGCCAACCCAGACCTTGCAACCACCGGCCAGAGGAAGGACATCCTGACCAACCTGATCCTCGCCAAACACCCCGACACGGGTGAACGACTGACCCAGACAGACCTAGAAACCGAGGCCTTCGGCTTCATGCAAGTAGCCCAAGCACCCTCCAACACCGACCGCTCACTCACTGACAACAACCCCCCTCCCCCACAGCATCGCCGGCACCCACACCACCAGCGCAACAACCGCCCTCCTCTTCCACCACCTCCTCCACAACCCACCCCACCTCTCCCAATGCGTCGCCGAAATCGACGCCAACCTGCCCCCTCTCCCGCCCTCCGCCGCCACCTCCCACCCCATCTCCCTCCTCGAGTCCTCCCTCCCCCACCTCCGCCTCTGCATCCGCGAAAACTTCCGCATCACCCCCGTCTTCACCATGCCGCTAGCCCGCCGCGTCACCTCCCCCAGCGGCATCACGCTCTCCGGCCGACACATCCCCCGCGGCGTAAGTCCCATCCCGCCCATCCCCCCATCCTCCCAACCACCAAAACTAACACCCACCCTCACAGACCTCCATCGCCATCTGCAACCACGCCCTCCACCACACGCCCGCCCTCTGGGGCACTCCCTCCCCCTCCGTCTTCGCCCCCTCCCGGTGGGACGAACCCGCGGTCGCGGCGCGCGCGCGGTCGCTGATGCATTTCGGGCAGGGGGCGCGGCAGTGCGTGGGGAAGGCGGTGGCGCAGACGAACGTGTACAAGCTGGCGAGCGGGCTGCTGGCGGACTTTGAGTTCGAGCTGGCGGACGCGGCGGAGCGGGAGGCGGTGGGGAGGGGGGAGTGGGTGGGGAGGATGCCGCGGATGGTGAGCGTGGGGGTTGGTGAGATTGAGGGGGGTGTGTGGGTTAGGGCGAGGAGGAGGGGGAGGAGGGGGACGGGGACGGGGAGGGTGGAGGGGTGATGGTGGGTCTTTGTGCTGTGGGTAACTGGGTATAGTAAGTCTGATGTGGTGGGGCTTGGTTGTTTGTTTCGACGGGGAGGGACGTGTTGGGGACGGTGGTTGGGGGTTTGGGGAGGGGTTTGGTATGTGAGAGCAATGATTGTATGTACATAAGTTCCGTGAGGTGATTGGCTACGTCGTATTGGGTCGTGCGGTGTTGACGTGGAAGCAGTGTCTCGGAAATGCCGGACCGGCCGAGCAGCCGAAGCGGGGTAGGTCGTCTAACTAAGGCAGTTGAGAATACATTCGGCACTTGATCAGTCTCGGACCCTCGGTCTTATCGTCTTCGCTCTTCGATACAATGGAGCTGTTTAACGCGCGTCCACTGCACAAGCGTCGGAGAGTCGAGGTTGCGTGCATCTCCTGCCGACAAAGAAAGACACGGGTAAGTCTGTCAGACACTGATTAATGATGACGCTTACCACCATGGCACCGAATAGTGTGATGGTCAGAGACCGGCCTGCACGTCGTGTCGAGGCCATGGTGCGCCATGCAAGTACGAAAGCTCCGTAGTGGATCGTCGGGGCAGAAAAACGTGGAAAACGGCGTGAGAAATACCTTTGCGAGCTTGCAACCAGAACTAATCGACATTGAAGTTCGAAAACGACGCCCATTCGGGACGTGGAAGAGTTGAGGGACAGAGTGGATCCAGCATGCGCCGTGTCTACGCATCTACGTTCGCTTGCACCAGCAGCCGACGCGGCGTCAGATTCAACAGAAACAGTGACATTCGAGCCGGAAGCAGTTCCGCACAAGACCGCATCACAAGAAGAACCTCAGAGCCGCCCTGGTGAAGCTGCCGTAGATACGCTTGCAACAGAAGCGTTCGATGTGATGCCAGTTCGGGAAATAGGCTACTTTGGTAAGACAAAAGTTGAACGACCTTCTTTTTCCTCTGAAACTCAACATAACGACAAGGTCCTACATCGAACCATGCATTATTCCGCAGCCTATCCAACATCTTTGCACAAACCACCAGCTTGCGCAATCACACAGCGACCTTGAGCAGGAGCACCGACGGTGGAAACAACTTCAATCCGAGCGATCACGGACAAATACGGAGTGAGCGTAGGAATGCCCATCCTCCAAGCTTACCAGGACACAGAGAATTGATGGGCTTGATCAATCACTTCTCACATAAAGTCAGCGGCGTGTTCCCGTTCATCACCATTTCGTCCGTTATCGAAGGCATTGACCAGAATGGTCCAAGAAAATCAAGAGCACTACTGAATATTGTATGTGCGCACGCTTCTACCTCTATGCAGTGCGAGAATGCCGAGCTGTTTTACCGCCGTGCCCTGGCTCTCTTGGACGAGCGCAACCTTCGAGGGTCAAGCCTTGAGTTGATCCAAACACTTCTGTTACTCTCGAGCTATCAGCAGAACAATCAACGCGCCGTAGCCAGCTGGACATACCACGCCCTCGCAGTTAAAGCTGCCTACCAGCTGGGCCTTCACTCGCTGAGATGTCATACAGACTTCAACTCTCCACAGACTGAGCAGCGCCAGCGCCTTTGGAATGCTGTCATCAACGAGGACAGGTAGTCCAGATTGTGCCTCTCTCTTATGAATCCCAGTGACGAATAGTAGCAGATATCTGAGCATTGCCCTCGGCCGGCCTTTCCTGATCCCGTCGCAACATGTTCGCGTTCCAAAGCGCTCGGTTCCCTCGGTTCCGAGCCCTGCGTCCTCGGCCGAAACCTCGAGTATCACTTTCTTCAACCACCTCACGTATGTTAGCTCTTCCCGGGTCGATACGAGCAAATGGGCTGACCTTCAAGTTAGTTCCTTATACGCCATCCAAGGAAATGTCGTCGAGTCCATGTACGATCACAACCTAGAGCCCGAGGCTGATCTTGGCCTTGAAGACTTGATTGTGGAAAGACTCAAGTTAGTAGTGAAGCTCGAGCAGTGGCGCCAAAGTGTATCGCCCTTCTGTGATGTTCTTTCAGAAGGGTTGGACGCCAAATTGCTCGATTCAAAAAGATACGAGACTATGCTGTGCATTCAATACTACCGAACGGTGCTTTTGATCAACGGTCCTATCTTGATGGGGGTTTTGGAGCACAGTATCGCAAAAAGAGACGCAGAAAACATTACATTTATCCAGGAACAGGTCCTGCCGCCAATTAAGAGCAGCTTTTCAGCTGCTCTCCAGCTTCAGCAAATCATTTCGAACGTTAATCGGTGTGGCAATGCATTCATCAATGGCAATGCAATGTGGTGGGCCTGCAATTATACTTGTATGCGTCGGGGTCCCAGGATGCTACGATACGAAATGGTTCAGCTGACGGAGCACAGCGTTCACTGTCGTCCTTCACCTATTCGGTGCCTTCCTGGCCTGCGAGAGACCTGGAGTTGAGATGGCCTTTGACGGTCGTCGTCGCCTTGAACTTCGATCGGCTCTTGACTCCGCCTTGGAAACCTTGAACGCGATCAAAAGAACAAGTATCATGAGCCGGAAGGCTCGACAGTGCATCGCAAACTTCCTCGACATATACGATGCTTTAGGTAAGCGTTGCGATGCCACTTAGATGCTACTAAAGCTGACATGGATAGATTCCGACCAACAGACATCCAATACCGCTGACATCTCCCACACTCTCAACATGCCCGACGAAACAACATTGCCGATCGACGATACAGCTGCTGACTCCTTGTACGCTTTCATTAACCAAGCCGCCGACGAGTTTCTCTTCCAATGCAGCGATAGCTCTTACCTAGACGCCGACTTCTCGTTTTTCTAGCCTCTACAAGACCCGACCCGTTTCTCATGTGCCCAAGGGTTGCCCCCTCGACAGCATGGGCTTCAACCACGTACAGTTCAGGAGTAGCGCTCTCAAGTTGGCCAAGTCGATAACGTACCTAGAACTGGGTTAGCAATGAACAATCTCGGATGTTTAACGTTTCACTTGTGTTGGTGATGGTAGGTAGGTAAAAATACGAGGTGGGGAAAGCAGATTGGCGACCCAGATTTGGAATTCTCCATGTGATCGACATAGGATGCATACGAGCTTTGCTGCCTGCTTGTCTGCAGCTTCGCCTTTGTGAACCAACGAACTTGGCCCCCACGGCCCCCACCAGTGCGGCTGAAGTTGAAAGATAAGTCGAGTATGCAGGGGTCGCTACGATTATCAGTTTCTGGCGGACAATACAGACGCACGGATGCTACTTCATCACGAGGGCGCTTCGTATGACGCCTCATTTTGCACACAAAACGTCAATCGTTGAAGCTGAACAGCTCCCTTAGTCGAGACTCAAGAGTGAGACTACTGTGCTGACATTGGCTTTTGCTGTCTCCTCTGGTGTAGGAAATTTCGCTTCGAGTGCAATTAAAATAGATGGCCGACCCGGATGTCAAAAGTCTTCGTTGTGGGTCACTCGAGTCAATCATTTCTGCAACTGCAATACTGGCACCGCCCCGTAATGGCTGGCGCGTACACGGTGAATTCAGCTGGCTTTAGCTCAACACCCCTTTTCCTGTTTATTCGTCCGCTGGTATCGGCATGTCGATCGTAAAAGACAATGCTCTCTGACCGAGCACTTCATAAGTCCCTTGCCTTGCTCGTTCTTCCAGCCCCTCGCTGCCCCCAACCTTGAGGGTGCCCGCCACATCTCAACACTGACGCTGGCATCGTTCAACATCACCACCCTTTTTGTAGGCATACCCCGACATGGATTTGAGCAAGAACTAACTCCGAAGCAGCCGTAGTTGCCATTACTGGTCGTCCACCCTCTCAAGCTTTTTTCACATACCAGTGCCCTCCGGGATCATTCTCTTAGCAATGGATCCTGGCTTGGGAAACGCCCAAGCTGTCCAAAACGACTTTGATGATGCGGTCAATGAATACATACGACAAACTGGGGACGACATCAGGGCGAAAAAGCCGCTCTCGAAGGAGGAAATGAGAAGAGAAATGGCAAAGATTTCTACGGGGTCTGCAGATCACTCGCTTCGGATGGCGTTGGACTTTCTGATGAAAGTAGGGGAGCTCGCCATAGGAACAGCCTCAAATGTACGTTTCCACTTTCCTACCCTCTCGAAACCCCCTTTGCTAATCTTGCTGAAGGCGTGGCCACCAGCAGCTCTTTGTTTTCAAGCTCTCCAAAGCCTCGTTGATGCAAAAGACCACTATCAACGATACTTCAGTGTGAAAAGTGTTCGTGGCTCCTTGGATCAGATCTTGACCGTACTGCAAGATGTCTCCAAGTACCTCGAAGGTACCAATCTGGGTGCTCAGATAGACGACGAACTCCACGATCTTCTACGCCAGCGCTTGGCTTACTTCCTCCGAATGTGCGCAATCTATACCACGGTCCAGAAAAACTCCAAGAGGGCCAGGGGAATCGTCAAGAACCTCTACATGACTGTTGCTGGACGCGACGGTGGCATTACGGAGACCTTGGACACACTCAGGAGTTTGGAGGACCGAGAAAAGAAATATCTCGCCCGGGACACCTGGACGATCACAAGAGCCTTCTGGGATCTCCAAGCCAAGGATACATTCCAACAACGCAAGCTTCATGCAATCATGGCTGGACTGGGCCTGAGCGAGAAGGACCCGGTGTGGAACAGTTCGCTTGAGAGACACATCAAACTACGACAGAACTTTTTGGGAAATTCAGGAGCCTGGCTACTGGATAGCAAAAGGTTTAGCGATTGGATGAAGCCCGAGACCACAAAGCATGTCTTCCTGCTGCAAGCAGAGCCCGGGAATGGGAAAACGTATCTCTGCTCCGAGGTTGTGGCAGAGCTCGAACGCCGACGAAAAGAGCGACGAGGAGAGTCGAATCCCTCCTGCCGGTCCGTCACTGCCTATTTCTACTTTGAGGAAGGCAGGAAGTCGTCAGCATCCAGAGGCAAAGAGGAAAGAGAGACGCCAATTCGCGATGCGTTTGCTGCTATCTTGTGGCAGCTTGCGAACCTCGATCCGGTATACCAGAACTTCGTCCACTCCGAGTGCACCAACAGCCAGAGCAAGCCTGCGACCGGAATCGAGCTCTGGGATAAGTTTGTCACTACTTTCTCCAATCGCGCAAGGAATGAGGGACGGAGGATATTCTACATTGTTCTCGATGGAATATCGATCAACCACAGCAAGAGCTCCGAGCTCATCGGCATCCTGAAGAGGGCCACACAGCTCCGCGGCAAGCATATCGAAGCGAGGTTCTTCCTCTCTGGTACAGAACATGCGCTGGAAAACATTGGTCAGACTCTCAACGAGAGCACTGACGTCATCAAAGTCTCTGACCATATCACGGCCGACATCCATGCTTTTATTGGCTCTCGCATGAAAGAACTATTCAATAAAGGCAGCAAGGAGGAAACTGAGATTTTGAAAAAACTCGAGGAGAAGTTGCGGCAAGATTACAGTGGGGGCTACCAGCAAGCGGAATCTGCTTTGGACGATATCAAAAACGCGATTGGAAGCATGAGTGAGCTCCAAAGGATTCTCGATCGCGAGCCGGGAATCAACCTTGAGTGGCACATCAAGAGGCTCACGTCGATTCTGAGCAAGGAAGAAATCGAAGAGGTCAATGACATAGTCATATGCATTGCGCTCTTAACAGTATGGCCGAGCCTCAAGCAACTGGAGACGTTTCTCAAACTGCGGGAAGGGTTGGATCACGACCAGGTGAAGTCGATCGAATTCTCCGGACTCCAGGAGCGACTGCAGGAAAGATACTCTCAGCTCTTCCATCTCGAAGACGACGAGGACCAGATAGTCAAGTCAAAAGACACTATGGATTTTTTCCTGGAGCGAGAGAGAAGCCTCAAGGATGGTGCCGCCAGACTAGCCGGACTGCAAAGTGGCAACGACCGAACAACGCAGAATCAGCTTCACGAGTCCGAGATCGCTACGGTTGAGAAGATCATCAACTCTGTTTGTGGCGACGAGGTATTCAAACGGTTCCATTTCGATGACTTCTTCAAGAAATTAAGGGATCCGCGAAACTCGTTGAGCGCAACAATCCAGTTCAACAGTACTGAAGGTCATATCGAAATCATCTATCGAACTCTCAAGGCAGCTTGTGATGAAGCCAGGGAACGGTACAGGAGCCTCCACGAATACGCAGCCATGGATTTGATGGACCATCTGGGACATGTCACGCCACCACAGCTGGCTACCACTTCGCCCACTAAAACGAAATCTATCATGGATAACCTCGTAGCGTTTTTCAAGGACAAGGATGTTATACGAGCTTGGTTAAATCCCTTCAGCATCCAACGAATTCCTTTTCATGCAAGGTTGGGCGACTTCGATTCCATCGACAACGCTCTTCTATTGTTGAATGAGCCTTCATTGATGCCAAAGGATCTATCAAAGAGCTCCGGCACGCCAGGAAAGGAAATCGATACTCCAACAGAAGGAGAGCAGGGCTCTGATGTCGTCGAAGACTCTTCAACGAGCCTGAAGTACACAAAAGCAGGGTTGCTCAAGACTCCTACGGAAGTCTTGGCAACCATGTGGCTCCTGGAAGAGACACATGATGTCCGGGATGTATTCTGCTGCTTTGGTGCTTTCTGTACGGCGGTAAGTCATTAAACGTTCCGAGAAGATGTCTCGCATCACTAATGTTGTGTGATTTTAGTTCTTCCCTGAAAGTGGAAAAAGTTTCTATCGGGATATTTATCTTGATAACGATGCGGAAACGGTCTCCACGCTGGAAAAATACGCCGCACGAGTCCTGAATGTGACAGACATCGATCAGCACCTGAAAGACCATCCCACTTCGCTGTGGAACCTAAGAGTAGCCGAGACCTACCTGGCATGCGGCCATGCAGAAGAAGCCATCACAAGATGCAAAGCTGGAGACCCAACTTCATGGCAGATAATCTGGTGCACCGCCAGGGCACATCGTCACCAAGGCGAAGTCAATCAAGCCATCAAGGTTCTGGACCAAAACTGCGATAAAATCAAGGACCCAACCTGGCGGAAAGCCCACGCAAGTGCATGGAGCAGCATGGTCTCCCAGCTGTTATACTGGTATGACTATGCGGGAAAAACTGAAAAGGCCATCACCTTTTCTCGAATTCTTTGGAACATTTACAAAAACGACCTAGAGGTCCAGAAGCTTGCGCTGCAGCGAGTCGATCCAGCATCCAAAAACATCGAAGCCCTTAGATCCTTCTTGAAAGCTTACGATGCCCCGGTCGATCTGTTCCACCACTGCGCCGACGACTCCAGGTTCCATGACAATGTTCTGTTGGCACTTCAGAATGATTTTGGAGGCATCAACAAGCACTACCTCGACGCCATCGACGCACTGAAGAAGACAGACATGAAAATCAACGGCACGCGTACAACGGAGAGGCTTGCATGGCTTCGATTCTACTACGGCATGGCGCTGTTCCACTTGGACCGCCGCAGAGAAGCACAGATTGTATGGGAGGACAACACTTCCGAAATCCGCGAAAACCTCCAATCGGAGCCTGGGGAGCAGCAGTCGCTCGTCCAGATCTACGCGAGAAACACGGAAAAGCTGGCTGAATGTTACATCCAGATGATGAAGAAGTCAGAGATCGGTACCAACCAAGCATACGCATTCGCCTTCAAGATCGACGGAAGCATGGGCGGCGATTACCCATCTTCGGCGCAGTCGCACAGACTGACTTTTGCGCTCGCTCGCATATACTCCTTCAGCGGCATCGACTTTCTTGCACGAGAAAGCCTGAAGGGCGAAGTCCGGAGCGCTTTTCAGATCTTGACCGACGACGTGGACGAGAATGACTGGGAAGGCTATTGGAGGCTGTGTCAGGTTTTCGTGGCGCTTTCCGACCATGACAATGCCCGCGTGGCTTGGTCGCTGATCACGCAAGAAACCCTTTACGAGGCGGAGTTTTGTCGCGGCGACTGTAAAAGGCTTTGGAGTGATTGGGGAGAAAAAGACCTTCATATCTGCATGGACTGTGCAGATGTCCGTCTCAGCTCTTGCTGTCTAAGAAAATTGCAAGATGGGTTGTTGGAAAAGCGCATTTGTGGTAAGGACCATAGCTTCATGTCATTCGAGAAACTTGATACCGCAAGAGCAAAGAAGTTCGTGGAGAAAGGAGTTGTACCTGGTAGCGACAGACAGATTCTTGATTGGCAGAACGAGGTTAGACGGCTATTCGGACTCGAGGAGAGGACTGATGGAACAGCGGACCCAAGTCGTTTGCGAAAATTTGCAAGGCGACTGGTACCATGGTAGGCTTAAAACAAGCCAATAGAAGCTTTGACAATTGATTGGGAACTTCACTCTGTTTGGCACTGCTTTTGTACTAAGAACTATCTCAATAAAAACTTGTTATATCACAAAAGGAAGAAAAAAAAAAGGAATGAAAACGCCATACTGCCGATGTAAATTTTGATGCAAACTACAAACTCCAAACTCTACTCTTTCCCACCCTTGTCCGACTCTTAGACATTGACATTGTTCTCCGTATCAGTCGTCAAGTACATCTTGAAGGAGGTATCCGCTCTTAGCCAATCCCACGGCCCACATCTCCCTTCAACGCCAGCTTCTTGAACTTCCCACCCCCATCCACGCCCCAAACCCCCTACTTACCTCCTCTACTTGCGCCCACTCCACTGGACGTGTGCGTATAGTTCGGAGACCCGCACCTTTGCTTGAACTATTCACGTAGGGAGAGACTAAACAAGTGTAACGCGAGGCACAGCAGGACCAAAAATTTTCATGATTTCACGATGTGCCTACTAAGCACGTTCTCCTATCTTTACCTACATCAGCATCATTCGCTCCATACTGTGCTTTCTCGAAAGCAATTCGCACGACCGATTCGCCCGCCTAAGCAGTGCACTCTTCTCACACCCTCTCCTTCTTCCCCTCTCCCTCCTTCTGCTTCTCCTCGGCACCATCCACAAACAACGTCTCCTGCGCACTCCACAACTCGCTATACAAACCGCCCGTATCCACCAACTTCTCATGCGTGCCCTGCTCGACGACCTTCCCATCCTTCAACACGATGATCAAATCGCTATCATAAATCGTCCTCAGGCGATGCGCAACGAACACGCTCGTCCGCTTCTTCTCCCTAATGACGCTATTGATATTCTGCAGCAGCGCCTGCTCGGTATGCGTGTCCAACGCGCTGGTGGCCTCGTCGAAGAACAGCAGCGGGGGGTCCTTCAAGATGAGCCTGCTGACGGCGAGGCGCTGCTTCTCGCCGCCGGAGATCATCAAGCCGCGCTCGCCGACGGTGGTGTCGTAGCCGTCGGGGAAGGCGGCGACGACGTGGTCGAGGCGGGCGCGGCGGGCGGCGGCGCGGACGGCGTCGTCGGTGGCGCCGACGTCGCCGTAGCGGATGTTGTGCATGATGGAGGCGTTGAAGAGGGGCGTGTCCTGCGGGACGACGCCGATGGCGCGGCGCAGCGAGTCGAGCTGGACGGCGCGCACGTCCTGGCCGTCGATGGTGATGGCGCCGGCTTGCACGTCGTAGGAGCGGAAGAGGAGGCGCAGGATGGTCGACTTGCCGCAGCCCGAGGGGCCGACGATCGAGACCTTCTTGCCGGCGGGGATGGTGAGGTTGAGGTCCTTGAGGATGGGGCGGTCGGGGCGGTAGCCGAAGGTGACATTTTCGAAGCGGATGGTACCGCCGCCGGGGCTGGCGAGGGCGAGGGGTTTGGCGTCGGGCGCGTCTTTGACGGCGACGTTGACTTTTTGCAGGTTGAAGAGGGTTTCCATGTCGAGCAGCGACTGGCGCAGCTCGCGGTAGACGGAGCCGAGGAAGTTGAGGGGGACCGACAGTTGGAAGACGAGTTGGTTGACCATGACCAGGTCGCCGACGGTGAGATGGCCCGTCGCGACGCCGTCGGCGGCTAGGTACATCATGGCGGTGAGGGCCGAGGAGAAGATTATGTTCTGGCCCGAGTTGAGAAAGGCGAGTGAGGTGGCGACTTTGATGGAGGCCTTTTCGTAGGATTGGAGGGCCTTGTCGTAGCGGTCGACCTCGAATTTCTCATTGTTGAAGTACTGCGAATGTTAGATTGGGGACTAGAGAGAGGGCAGGCACACTACCTTCACGGCCTCGTAGTTGATCAGGGAGTCGACTGCAACAGTAGCCGCCCTGTTATCGGCAGCATTGGCCTGCTTCCGGAACTTCGTTCTCCAGGAGGTGGTGGCAATGGTGAATGCGGAATAGGCAACCATGGTGCCGGCGGTAATGGCAGCAAACTTGGCACCGTACTGATAGGTCTGATAGACATTAGGAGCTTGACGCCGGACGCTTGCTGGCCATGACTTACGAGGATACCGCAAACCATGGAGATTTCGAGGGCCGTGGGGAGGATGTGAAAGACCATGGAGGTAAGCAGGAAGCTGATGCCCTTGGTACCGCGATCGATTGCTCTGGTCAAGCCTCCGGTTTGTCTAGAAAGGTGGAAGTTCAGGTCGAGCTTCAAAAGGTGCTCGTAGACGCTGCAAGCCACTCGACGGATGGCCTTCTGGGCAACACTGGCGAAGACGGCGTTACGAAGTTCCTGGGAAAGAGTGGCACCCATGCGGGTGACGCCGTCTGGGGGGCTCCTTAGCATGCGCATGGGCGAGCAGATCGATGTGCTTACACGCAATGATCATGGACCCGGCAACTGTGGTAGCCGTGCCTCCAAGGGCAGCAAAATCAATGTTCATGGCATCTACAATGCTCTTGAAGTAGAAAGGCACTTGCACGTTCAACACCTGAGAGTATCTATGAGCAAAGAAAGTACAGAAAGGGCGAGACAGCATGTCACCTTTGCACCGACGAGCAGAGCCACCGAGAGGCCGACCCGCAGCCTTGTTCCGAGATTGTCCTTCGTCCATGTTAACGCGCCGCCACCCACCCGAAATCAGCCAGCCTACCTTCGGCCACAAGTAGCGCGACATCTCCTTCATGATGGCCCAGTCCGCCTTGCGCTGCTCTTTGTTCGACACCGTCTTTTCTGCCAGCAGCGCGTCGTTCTTGACACTGGACCCCGCCGCCTTCTGCGTCCCCTCGGGCTTCAGGACCGTCTGCGCGCCTTCAACTTTGTTCGCGCCATTGGCTTCAGGCGTGTTTATCCTGGGGTCATCTTTGCGGTGGCGCGGAGCAGTTGCGAAGACGCGCACGAACGGCGAGACGGGGGAGATGGAGCGAAGGCGAAGTGTCGGGGGACAGCGCTGCGGGGTGCTCGTGTGCGACGCGTGAAAGGAACGGCAGCGCGGGGCAGAACAGGCGCTCCGCAAGAGCTGTCGGGTTAGCATGATGCAGTCGCAGTCGGTGGCTCTCAGCGGCGCATCGGCGCCATGCCCAGGTGCGCAATTGACGGGGAGGACGGAGGAGGAGACGGAGGGCGAGAGTGCGCGCCGTTTATAGGCGCGGGGGACGTCAAGGTGCCGGCGCAGCACGCAACGGCGGGCGGCACAGGCGTCAGCGTACCAGCGGTGCTTGGCGAGCACAAGCCCGGCATCAAAGCTCGCGACCAGCTGCATCATCGCACCCGCCCACGCTCCCGACCGATAAAACCATGCGCGCCCTCTCCGCGAGCTCCAGCCGGGGCTCTCGCGCCATCGGCCGCTCGTGTCGCGCCCATGTCGCGACTCCGCTGATCCGCCGCCGAGCCATCCACATCAGCGAGGCGCCCTCGTCGTCCACGCCTAGCTTCGACCAGGACGTCTCCGCCGCCGCCAGCTCCACTCCGGGTACCGCGCCCTGTCCGCCCGCTCAATGGGTCGGGTAACGTGTTAATTGGCCCATAGACGCCCGCTTCGAGGTCATTGGCTCGCCCTACTCGCTGCTGTCCGTTTCGCTGTCCGCTTCGCAAAACCTGTACACGCGCCGCGGCACCCTCGTCGCCGTCAACGGCAAGGTCGAAAATGCCGTCTCCAGCCTTTCTGTCCTCGAGCCCTTCCGCCGCGCCCCGCTGGCCATTCCGTTTCTCTACCAGAAGCTCTCCTCGACGAGCCCCATCACCGCCTTGATCTCTTCCAAATCGCCCGCCACGAGTTTCGCCGTCGTACACCTGGATGGTCGCCTCGATTGGCTGGTCGCTCAGAGGCAAGCTCTGCTGGCATGGACCGGCCACGCGCTCTCCGTCAAGCCTCGCATGAACACAAAGATGGTAGGTTGCGCCGGCTTCTGAAATTGGAGAACGGGTGCTGATCTACAAAGAGCTTGGCCCACTGGGGTAATTCTCACGTTACCGGCAGAGGTCTGTTGGCTCTGGTTGGCAAGGGCCAAATCTACCAGGTCCACCTCAAGGCTGGCGAGGAATACGTTGTGCACCCGAGGTAGGCCGAGCGTCATTTATCTTTCCCGATTGCTTTTCTGATATGACCAAGCAACGTCCTCGCATATACCATGACCGCGAACCCGCCGCTCCCCTACCGCTTCAAATCGACGTCCCTCCGCTTCCAGGTCCCTAGCTTGACTGGACTTTTCCCGAACACCAAGTTCTTCGAGGATATGCGGAAAACGCAGGCGTTCAAGACTTTGGCCCAGTTCCTCTTCACGCTCCGCACCTGGACGAGAAGAACGATATGGGGCGACAGGGTACGTCATACATGCTCTCATGGCGGACAATGCTTGACCAACATTCTCTGTGTATAGTTATTCCTCCAATTCCGCGGCCCCTCCACCATCCTCGTCCAATCACGAGCCGGCCGTTTGACCGATTCCCTTACGACCCGTGACGTAAATGAAATCGCCGATGTACCCGCGGGAGCTGTGCAAGAGGCTGTTACGCTGGACATGCGGAAAGAAAGTGGCCACGGTTCGACTACTACGGCTGCTGAAGAGGCGGAAGCGCCGAAGGAGAAGGTACAGGTGGGTTCAGACGGAAAGTCCAAGACAGGAGAACAGGCGGATGGCAAAAGTGCATAGTTGTAGGCATGGCGTTAGAGAGGAATCAGTTCATTGCGCATGACACCCGTGGGAGATAAGACAGTCAATTCATGTTTAGAGAACAAGACGGCCTGATCTTAGCCACACACGGACACCTGTCGTTTTAAGCACATGGTGAGCGAGCTGGCTCATGGAAATGTTGACCCAGAAGTAGCATGTATTCCAGACACCAGGACGTCGAAACACCCGAGCTCACCTCCTTGCCATGTCCCTCCCACCAATCCACACAAATAGCCAGCTGATGGAAATCATGATCCTCCACCTCCAGCTCCGGGTCCAGGCAAGACTGCCGGATCTCCAAGCCAACCAGGCACTAATACCAGTTCAGTCCTCCTTCCCACCAATGACTCCATCATGCCGCCCGAGGTACGCCAGTAGCGCCCTCTACTTGTACCGGAACGGCTCCCTTGTTGAAAGCATCGACCAGACACTCGCCCTTCTGCAGCGTGACCTCTGCCAGTCTCGGCAACGTCTCGCCCTCGATATCCGCCGCATCGCCCAACGCATACACATCCTCAACCGGACTCCCGTCCTCCCTCAACACTCCGAGGTACCTACCCGTCAAGACCCTTGACAACCCCCTTTCGGATTTCTCGACCCCCTCCAAGCTCTCCATCAACTCACTCGCCTTATTCCCCATCGCGACATACATGGTTCATCACGCATGGTGATGGCCGTTGGTCAGGTGTAGCTGGCTGCTGGCGGAGATCAAAGACGTCATTGCAACGGTCAAGCTTTCGGCAGTGGGCAACCGGCATCTCATTGGCTGAATGCTTGGCCTGTTTAGGCTTCCGAATTTGGTCTGCATTTGCTCCAGGCCGGCCGTTCATCAAGACCCCGGTCTAGAGGCATACCTTTGCAGTCACGGCGGCGCGGAACACGACCGCAACACCCGTCCCGCTTCTACATGAGACTCGTGTCTTGTATCGTGCTGTAAAATCCGTAACTTATTTTCCTCTCATCCTGGTAGTGGAAAAGTCATGCTTGCAGATTCCTCCTTCACGCACCCATCACGTTAGATATTGATCCTCCGCGCCTGGTGAAGACGTGCTGTCGGCTTCCCTCAGCACAAGCAAGGATCGCCGGTTGAACTCGCAATCGGCACACCAAAAGGCGCAATGCGCCGGCACGGCGTATCGGCGACCATCATGTTCGCGTGCACCTCATCAACGTCCCGCATCACGTCATTCCGCGACACCTCATAGGCTCATTTGCACTTTGTTTTACTGTTTACTGGATGGTGGCTGCGATAGGAAAACCCGCTCGACAATGCACGCCTGCTGATCCGTCGATGCGCATTGGGTGGATGAGATTTTTATGCGCACCGGGGTGGTCAAGCTTAACCGCTTGATCGGGCAGCAGGGATTGCGGCATGCAAGCGTCGAGGGGCACTTAAAAGGACCCAGAACGTCGGGCGCGTTGGAGAAGAAAGAATCAGATCTCTCGACGTCGCACGACTCCAACACATATAAGATGGCCGTGGATATCTCAGCCAGAGACGGCTCGAGCAGTGAAGCTCTCGCGCCTCCGCTCTCGCAAGCCGTTGGGTACGTTGTCGTCGTGGTGGTTGGCTTGATTATCGCTTTTGGTAAGTCTGGAGCATGATGCCTCACTTGCAGGAAATGACGGTGGCTAACTGACTTACTTGCAGGAATGGTCTTCGTGACTAGGATTCTGAAGAAGACGGTTGGCGAAGACAACGAGAAGACGGAAGTATTCATGACGGCCAACCGTTCCGTGACTCGAGGCCTTACCTCCTCGGCCGTCATCTCGGTAAGTCCCGAACGACTAATTGATAGAAACGAAATGCGGCATTGCAAGCTCAAATGCTGATGGGAAATGCAGTCCTGGCTCTGGAGCACTGCGATGCTCGGGTCTTCGTTGGTCGGGTACCAGTACGGCGTTTCCGGACCATTCTGGTTTGCGGCAGGATGCAGCCCTATGATTGTCTTCTTCGCTGTTTTGGGAATCTCCTGCAAGAGAAAAATCCCTGAAGCCCATACCTTGCTCGAAATTGTTAGAATCCGGTACGGTGAGTCTTGGAAGGGCCATGGAAGGTAGAGGGTGTATTGCTGACAGCTGTGTAGGGAACATTGCCCATGTCGTTTACATGGTGCTTTGCTTGCTGAACAACCTTTTTGCCTGCGCGAACATGCTCTTGGGCGCTTCTGCCGTTATAACTGCCATGTAAGCGATTGCCTCTCCTATTTTCGCGCCATCGTGCTGAAAAGAGCACTGACACCTCTCAGGACTGGCATGCATGTCATAGCGGCAACATTCCTCCTCCCGGTTGGAGTCGCGCTTTACACATTCGTCGGTGGCATCAAAGCAACGTAAGTCCCCCATCAAACCCTGGATCCATAGCCCTGTGTGGGAAAAGGCTTGCTGATAATCGCCCCCACACCAGCTTCCTGACGGATTACCTCCACACTTTCACAATTCTCATCATCCTCTGCTTCTTCACCGTCAAGGCTTTCACCGTTGAGGAAATCGCTTCACCCTCTCACCTCTTTGAAATCCTCCAGCAGGCCGGGTTCCGTCATCCGGTTTCCGGAAACCACGATGGCTCGTACTTGACCATGACCTCCAAAGGTGTAAGGACCTCTCCCCACCAACGACCTCCCTGTATCGCACGCAGCTCACGCAAGTAACAACCCAGGGCATCCTCTTCGGCATCATCCACATCTGCGCCAACTTCGGCCTGGTCATCGTAAGCCCCCTCTCCATATTCCCCCCCTCCAACCACCTCGGCTGAACCCCACGACCCAGATGGACACCAGCTTCTTCATCAAAGCCTTCGCGGCCTCCCCCTCCGCCGTCGTCCCCGGCTACGTCATCGGCGGCATCGCCTACTTCGCCATCCCCTGGGCGCTCGGCACGCTCGCCTCCTCCATCGTCCTCGGCCTCGAGCCCTCACCGCTCTTCCCGACCTACCCCCGACGCATGACATCCACCGAAGTCTCCAACGGGCTCGTCCTCCCCTACGCCTTCATCCTCGTCGCCGGGCGCGGCGCCGGCGCCGCCTGCGTCCTCCTCATCACCTTCATGGCGGTGACGTCGACGCTCTCCGCCCAAGTCATCGCCGTCAGCAGCATCCTCGCCTTCGACGTCTACCGCACCTACATCCGCCCCCGCGCCACCGACGCCGACGTGATCCGGTGGTCGCACTACGGCGTGGTGGGGTTCGCGGCGTTCGCCGCCGCCTTCAGCACGATGCTGCACTACGTCGGCATCGACCTCGGGTGGACGCTGTACATGCTGGGCATCATCACGTGCCCGGGCATCTTCCCCACCGCGCTCGCCATCCTCTGGCGCGGCCAGTCGCGGGCGGCGGCGGTGCTGGCGCCGACGCTGGGCATGGCGACGGGGATGGCGGTGTGGTTGGGGACGGCGAGGGCGCTGTACGGCGGGGTGGGGATCGCGTCGACGGGGGCGACGCTGCCGTGTCTGTATGGGACGGTGGCGGCGACGGTGGCGCCGTTGCCGATCAGTTTGGTGGTGACGGCGGTGACGGGCGGGCAGGGGTGGGAGTGGAGCGAGTTCAGGAAGGTGTCGTTGGCGTTTGAGGTGAGGGCGAGTGGGAGGGATGCCGGGTTGGAGGAGGCGGTGGAGGGAGGGGAGGGGGAGGAGGAGGCGGGGAGGAGGCTGAAGAGGTGGGGGAGGATAGCGGCTTGGTGGGCGGTGGCGACGTTCTTGGGGCATTGGGTGTTGTGGCCGTTGCCCATGTATGCGGCCAAGTATGTGTTTGGGGAGAAGGTGAGTGGGTTTCTTTGTTCGTTGTTTTGGATGGGAGTCCGGATGATGCTGACAGGAGCGGCGAATGGCAGTTTTTCGTGGCGTGGCTCGTCGTGGCCATCGTCTGGCTGTGGGGGACGCTGCTGGTTGCGGGATTCTACCCGCTGGTCGACGGCCGCGACCAGATTGCGGCTGTGTGGAAGGGGCTTCGGTCCGGTTCTGGGAGCAAAGGCAGTTCGACATCGACCAGTGATGGCGAAGGCAATGGCACGGATGGGCCGAGGTCGACAACGCAGCAATCGCCGGGGACAACGAAGGATGAGAGCTCGCTTGACGTCGTTGCGAAGGCCGAAGCATTGGAAAAGTAACCAGCAAAAGCGGCAATTTGTCTTTTGTTAGAAAGACGACACACGGGCGCATCAAGACCACGACAGTGCTTCACCGCCGAACGAGGTCATCTGTCAATTGTTTTGGCCAAGATAAGAAGCTCTACAGCTTATCATCTGCTGTAACCTGACTACGAAATTCCGTCATCAAGTCGCTGGTAGCTTCGTTCGATCGCAAAAGCTTTCTGGCTTGCAATGAGTATAATACTCTGTTGCACTAGAAAAAATACGACGCCGCACTGTTTTCCAGTGCTGGCTAATGGCCTTATATCGTTTGACATACACCAATAGATGGAGAAGGTGGAGCTGGCCTGACAGTTCTCGACGTGGCCAAGAAACGCATCGTTCAGCTCCCAGTGTTAAAAGCTGGAATTGTTCCAGCGATGTCAGCCTAAGGCCAGTTGACTTGTGAAGAGTATTGTCAACGCATGAGCCCAGCTTATCAGAAAAGCTGACAATGCTCGTAATGTCCCTATCTCCTCCCTCAACTCCAAAGCCAAACAGTATGAAGGCAACTCACCCGTGATCCTGCATAGACAGGATAATGTGTCATTCCTATTCCATGTCAAAGTGACAACAGCAACGTCTCCATCTGAGAACCATGTCTCCAAGCAACAAACCGACAAACTTTTGAACAGCGAAGCGCCTCAGCCGGAACCCAATTTGGCACTTCCGAATATCAACTTGCTCGAGCTAGTCTTCGACGAGACACTCAATGAATACGACAAAGAAAAAGGGACACTGCACCGGACGGCAAGAGAAACTTTTTATTAACCCCAGTGCCGGCGCTGGAGTAGCAGACGAAGCCGCCAATGATGCGTGGCCGAACATTGCGGATGTGCTCACGTGGTATTGGGGAAGTCATCGAGGAATGTGAACAAGTGGCGGGTGGAACTGTTTGTAACTGCGCTAGTCCCGCTGTAGATCCGTTACACTCCTTCGACAAGCTTAGTAAAAGTTGGACATGGGATTTGAATTGGAGACTTACCGTAAAAACTCGCCCTCTTTGCGGTAGGCATTACACTCATAAATTTGGGCAGTATGAGGTTCTGCCGCCGATTCAAGAAAAGCAACACGATCCCACTCTTTTGTATTACGGGGACTGTATTAAGAGCTTGCAGACTGATTAGAGACAGAAATTATACCGCCTAGCATTTCAAGGGTGGTCCTTACCGCCAAGATGGCGAGTGTCGTGAATTTCTGCGGCACTCTCAAATCGACCTTTGTGTGGGGACTGGGGAGAAGAGTGTGGCTTGGTCAAGGTATCGTTGTTGGGAGGCGATGGTCCACTCAGCCTCCCGCCGATCTTTCTGGCTAACAACAAAGCTAAAGACGTCCATGAATCGTGTGGCTTCTAATTACAGCGACAGAAGCTGTGACCAACCGTCATACACGAATCAGGCTGTACATACAACTCTCAGGGAAGCCAATCCTTCCAAATCCCTCGTCAACTTTCCTGTTCCAAGAAAACAGTTTGGCCCCCATCTATCATGCACACTCACATCATGCCCAGACTTCTCCGGGCTTTTATGTCTAACCTTCCCCACATCATCTTTTCCCTCTCGCTGTGCTGATTTGCCGCCATGTCCCACCTACCCTACAGTCGAATCGCACTGCGCGATATGGAAAACCCCACCGAGGCCGAGCCGGTTCAGGAGGTGAAATACACACCAAGCTCGTCCTCGACCGGGGCAAATGTCGACTTCGAGAAGCCTCAGAATGCCCGCAAGTCCCGGAGATGGGATGTGGCCTATTCAAGCAATGAGGGCTTGATGCAGGGCACGAAAAACATGCGAAGAGCAACCATAGACGCCGCCTCTACGCTCCGGTCCGACGAAGGATGGCGAAAGCCTATGCGCCATACGTTTGCTTTTCTGACCTTTTTCATCTTCGGCCTTCTTCCGCTCATCGTATACTTCACCATACTGGACCAGCCCTTCAAAGCGAAGCCCGTAACGTGCGGAGACGCCGCTCAGGTCAGAGAAGACACGCCGGGGATCGAAGGCTTGTTCACCATCGACCGCACCGCCGGCAGTTTCCCGTTCTGGCTGGCAAAACTCTTGGATACGATATGGGACCTCGTCGTCGCGCGCGGCATGCAGCTTTTGGCCGGCTGCATCAGCTACTCCGTGTTTTGCAAAGCTATGCTGCATGCCCTCGAGGCATCGCCTATCCCTTTCCGGACCTTTACCGGCCTGGCAATGAACGGTGCGTCGCTTTGGACAGTCGGTTGCATAATAAGAGATCTTGGCCGCCACAGTCGGAAACGCACAGTCTTGCTCTTCATCTACGCCGCAGTGGCCCTGGTATACGTGCTCGCCATCCCAACCCTGTTCTCAACCATGACCGGATACATCAGCGTATCTTCAGCCTTTACGAAAGTCCCTGGAACTTCGCAGTTCGTCCCGACAGACGATTTTGTGCCCGGCTATACGTTTGTCGGTTTGGAAGGCGTCCCAGACAACACCTGCATATCCCAGGAGATAATCGCCCCCATTTCGTACAAGTTCAATGCCAGAGAATACACCTGTAAGATTCCACCCCGCCGCAACAACACAGTGACCTTTCGCTGAACCAAGCCGGGCCGCCCAGGCAACAGCACCTGCCTGACGAATTTCCCCAACGGCACGCACAAGGACCTAGCAACAGGCGCGCTGCTCTACCCCATCGACGAATACGCCCTCCGACCCCTCCTCGAAAACAAAACCTGTACGTTCCCTCCCCCCTCCCCTCACTAAGAAAAAAAAGAAAAAAAAAAGAAGAAGAAAAAAAGTCCAACACCCTCACAGGCACATACTTCCCCAACGAAACCTACACCGGCCAGCAGCTCTTCGCCTCCTCCGCCGTCGTCAACCCCGCCGCCGCCGCCGCCGCCATGCAGAACCTCTACAACCCCACCCACACCCCCTACAACTGCACCGGCCCCCTCACCCTCACCATCGCCAACAAAACATCCATCCCCTTCGCCACCGCCCTCGCCCACACCGCCCCCTCCCTCGGCTACTGCTACAACGACCACGGCTTCGACTCCGCCCTCGTCGCCGCCTCCGGCCGGTGCCTGCCCGACACGAGCAGTAGCAGCTCTGCATCCTACCAGTGGGGCTTCTCCGCCATGCTGGCGAGCGCCGTGCTGGTCGTGCACGCGGCGTGGGCGGCCGGGCTGTATGCGGTGTGGGTGGAGGCGGAGTGCCGGGGGGAGGAGGCGTGGAAGGGGAGGCGGTTGGGGCAGCTCGGGGCGGCGTGGTTTGCGGTGAGGGTGGCGGAGGGGGAGGGGAGGGAGGGGCCGGAGGGGGTGGAGGCGGTGGCGGAGGCGAAGGGGGGGGGGGGGGGGGGGGGGGCGGTGGGGGGGGGGGGGTTGGGGGGGGGGGCGTGGGGGGGGGGGGGGAGGGGGGAGGGGGAGGGGGAGGGAGGGAAGGGGTGAGGATGGGGGTGCGGGTGGGGTATGAGGAGGCGGGCGGTTGGGGTGCTGATTGGTTGATGGGGGAGTTTTTGGTGTTGGTTTGGTGCGATATTGTCGCTTGGGTGGTGTCTGGATGATGCGGACTGGGCATCCTTGTAACGTTGATGTAACTCTTATTGCTGTTATGGAAGCTGGGAATCAAGGGTTTGTATGGACTCTTGGTGATGGAGATGAGGAAGTGAAGACTGAGCCTGCGTGGATGAGGGGATTGTTTTGAGGGTCGGCAAGCCTGTCTCTCTCCCCGTCTTACGTTTCTCCACAAGTTACTGAAGCGAGCTACTCAGACTCCGCGGATATGCATCTGGAATCATCGTAAAGTGTCTGAACTGCCTCCAAGCGTGAGGTCGTGTCGAGGCCAAACCCTCGCAAAAGCATTTCAAGATGACAGAACCCCATCAAGACTTCCACTCACAGCGCATAAAGCTCGACTGCAAACCATTCTATCATTCTAAAAACCATTTGAGGGGTATGAAACCATATTTACACAAACATCCCCCCATCCCATCCCATCGTCTATCTCTATAACTCCCCCCACACCCACAAGGGGGCATCACGCAAAAAAAAAAAAACTTTTTCAAACAGCAAAATCCCCCGCCTTGAGGCCCTCCTCAATCATCGCCTTGTACTTCGCAAACCTCTTCTCATCACCCACGCTCTTCTTCAGCTCCACGGCCAAAAACATCGCGATCGCGCTCGGCCAAAACGGCGCCAGCTTCTCGGCGTAGGCATAGTACTCCCGTGCCTGCGGCGAGTTCGCGGCGTCGACGCCGGCGGGGAATTCCGGGGCCTTCTGGTCGAAGTGCGGGACCGACGGCGACGAGGGCAGGTCCCAGTGGCGCGAGGTGATGTTGACCCAGCCGGGGGTGACTTGCGGCATGGATTGCGACTGGATGACGTCGGCGTTGCGGGGGAAGGTGAAGAGGCGGGCTTCGGCGGCGGCCATGGTTGTTGTTTTGGGTTGGTTGGTTGGTCGGTTGGAGGTCTGGAGGTGGTGGTTAGTTGGTTGGTCTGAGATCGATATCGTCGGGTTGGTGCTGGGTGTGGGCGGGATTGGAACGCACTGGAGTGGATAAGGTTTTCGGGCGATTGCAGATCGGTTGATCGAAGTGCTGGTGGTTGGTGATGCTGCTGATGGTGAGAGAGAGAGGCTTGGTGGACTGGCGGCCCTCGGGCTTTTATGGATGCGGGTTGAGGCTTTTACGGCGAGGCTGGGTCGAAACGCAGTGTCGTGACCCGAATCTGGCATATCCACATAAATCGGGCGACGGTGGTGGACGTCGGGTCACTCCAGGATGACCTCAGCTGAGACGCGGCCAGGAAAAAGCTCGGGGCTGTCGCGCGTCGCCACGCCGCACGGCCTCGCTGCTTCTTCAACACCACACCACACATCTCAACAACGGTCGAAATTGTTGTCTCTTCAGCCGCACCGTCTCGCCATCGCACTCGCCGGACGCGCCCCGTTCGGTAGTTGTGCAGGTCGAGCTCCCGGGCGACACAGCGCACGGCCCAGCCTTGCCATGTCGTTGCCGGCGCTCCGCGGTCGGCGACCCACTGTGATGCTCTTCGGCCCGCTCTCGCACGGCCGTGACATTCGACATCAGTTCGGCCCGTGGGGGCCCGTGTTCCTTATCGGAGGGTGAGTCAGGAGATGTCCGCCTATTATTGCAGGGCTGAAGAGAGTGGCATCACCCGCGAAGGATTTTTTCCATCGTGAGCTTTGTCGTCTGAGCGAGCGTGAACATGTTGACTCATTGCGTCATGAAATGACCTCTTCGTATATATATAGGGGACATGTGGTCCGAGCCATCTCAGCCGCAATTCCATCCCAAATCCACTCAACTGATAATGTAGCGAATCCAGTTCGAAAGATAAGTCTACCGGGGCAGCCCCGAGCGTGATGACGAACAAGACTCACCGTCGAAAGGACACTGCCATACCTGCACACCTCAAGGGTGCGTTCAACGCTTCACTGGCGTTGCGCGCACCATGAGCGGGCGCTTCTCCCAGAGACCCCACCACATCTTCTGCTGCGTCCAAGTCCCGCGGCTCTCCGGGCACAGTTCGAGGTCAAAATGCCAAAGCGTCTTGGCCAGAATCAGGCGCATCTCGTGGTATGCGAGGCTGTGAGCGCCGGTCAGCTTGCATCTCCCGGGTGCCGGTGCGTGCTCACTTCTTGCCGATGCAGTTCCTTGGTCCGTAAGAAAAGGGCTGACACGTCTCCTTCTTGTCGTCTGTGTACTCTTCGTAGCCCGGCTCGTCATGGAGCCAGCGTTCGGGAACAAACGACAGCGGATTGGCAAAGTTGCTGGGAGAGCGGTATGCCGCGAGTTGAGGAACAAACATGCGTGTCTGCGCCCGAGGAAGGATACGTCAGTTCGATGCACCTTGGCTGGTATGCTTCCGAGTCGGCTTACGTTCTCAGGTACGTAGTGGTCGAGCACCGTGTTCCCGCCTTTCGGCGTGACACGGGGCAGCCCGGACGGCACTGGAGGGTAGACTGCAAGATTGTCAGTCATCGACGAACCCGCACGAGTGCGTTGGTGAGGAGCGACTCACCCCTGAGACCCTCCTCGAAGCAGGCCTGCAGGTACTTCAGTTGTCGAAGGTTGTCGATCGTCAGGTCCTCCTCGTTCGGCACCTGGCCCCGAATCTCCTCTACGAGTTTGCGCATTTTGTCGGGGTCCATCAGCAGATGGTACGTCAGTCCGGACAGCAGCGTCGCCGTCGTCTCGGAACCGGCGGCCATGAATATCGAGGCGGTGGAGTTCATCTCATCGACGCTCAAGCCCTTGCCCTCCTCGTTGCTGAGAACCAGGCTCCATATATCCGCTCGTTCGGTGACGGCGCCTTTCTCCAGCCGCTTGGCCACGCGCTGCGCCGAATACTCGAAGGACTCTCTCTCCGCATCGGTCAATGCCTTGGGAACAAAGCATCGCGCTACCTTCTTCACGAGCGGGAACTCATCCAGAACGACACTGTAGGCGGCGTTTTTCAAGGATCCGACCATGGTAGACAGCCAGTGGTTGTACTCGGAATCATCCAGAAGTCCAAGCGGCTCGCCGAAGGTCAGGTCGGCCATGACGTCGAAGGTGGTGCAGTTGTAGAACTTGACCGCGTCGAAGCTTCCGCCCTCGGTGTTGCGCATGTTCCGCATCAGCTTGTCGATGTGGATGCGGATCAGATGCTCCTGGTCTCGCAGGGCCTTGTCGGAGAAGGCGTGACTGAAGATGCGACGTACGCGGGCATGCTCGGCATCGTCGGGGGTGGTGAAGAAAGAATGGACGCCGTTGTGTTCTGGGGCGTAGAAGACGGGATCCTTGGGGTTGGCGTTGCGCTTGGCCGAGGCGTGGCCATAGATGTCCTTCCAGGCCTGCGGATTGGTGAAGCTGAGACGGTCGGGGGCGATGCGGACGACTTCGCCGTACTGGCTGTGGGCTGATTCGAGGTATTGCAGGAGATGACCGCGGGTCCAGTGGTGCCAGTAGACGAGCGACGTGGTTGCGGCCAGGCAGGGACCGGGGAACTTGGCGAGCGGATGGAAGAAGAGGCTGTAGATGACGTGGGCTGCGATGCCTCCAACCGTCTTGAAAGGGTCAGTTTCATCCCGTATCTGTATTTCTTGAAAAGGATGCCACTAAGATGGGGTGTGTACCAGGAGCAGTCCGGCCACAAACAGCCGGAAGGTGGAGAGGTTGAAAGCGGAAAGAGTTTGGATTACTGAGGCTTCGGTCATTGTGACTGCATGGTGGATATGGAGTGCACAAGAGTCGGCTACTTTATACTCAGCTCTAACAGTACATTGTTTCCTCATGCAGCAATTCCAAGATGTGAGGGCCGTCGGAGTCCGCGGGCCCGGCACGGCAGCAGCAAGCCAAAGTTGCTCGGAAACCGTGGCATCCGTGCAAACCGTCAGCACTAGGGTATGCGGGATGCATGTCTTGGTTCAAGTGGTGGCAAGAGCCTGCTGCTGTCGTACAACAGCAAAGGCCGGGCTGTTGTGCCTGAGTCTGAGCCTGTCGTGCTGGAGGAGAGCAGGCGAGCAGGCGAGCAGGCAAGTTCAAGCGAGGACGGAGCGAGCCAATCAGCAGGGCAAGAAGCTAATTAGCTGGCTTTGTTCTGGATTCGGCGAATTAGGCCGGTTTCGCGCTGCGCTCGGCAAAAAGTCGCGTCCGCGCGCACAGACCACTCACGTGAGCTGGCGGGTACTCAGCCACGCCCGATTGTCCGCGCTTCCGTCTCCTCGCCCTTCTCTTCCCTCTCTCTCCCCACCGCGCCGGTCGCATCTTTCATCAACCCCGACGTCATCGCATCGACCTGCGTCTCGCCTGGCCGTGCTTATGACTGGTGCTTGTGTTTGACCGCCTCAGCATCCTCGCTTACCCCGCCACGGTACCGCCCCTTTGTCGTTGCGTCGCCGTCGCGTCGTCGTCGCTACTCTCGCTTGCGCTTGCGCCCGAGCTGCCGCCTCGCCGTCACGTCGCTGTCTCCGCCACCACACACCCTCTCGTCGCCCATCTCTCCCGTGCACGTCGGCATCGAATACTTCCATCACTCACGCGTCGCTAGGCTTGCGTTGGCTCGTGGTCGCATCGCCTACTTCGTCTCCCAGCGACCGACATCGGCTACCTGTCTCCTGAGACGATTGGTTTATTTACATCTGCACCCCCCAACTGATTTGTCGCAGTTGCCAATCCCGCTATTCCTGAGGTTTTGGCCTTGGTTGGAAGCTCACCAAGCAACCCCTGCAGGTTTTGACCTGGACTGGAAGTTTGTCGAGCTCTCCCCCGGGGTCACCGCCTTAGCTGGTTAGTTGACCCGTCTCTTCTGTCTGTGCGTTCATGAATGGGTTTGGCTTGTCGAGTTGTAGACTCGGAGTCGTAGCTCTGGATCCTGGTTGAAGTGCTCAAGACGTCTCTCTATCTGGTTGCATCTCAATCAACGGAGCCGGGTCTCATCAGACCCGGGGTTCAGCGACATGGCCCCCGTCGCTCCGTATAGCGCTGGGGTCGAAGTTGCGGGAGTTGTTTGCCTGAGTTTCTCGGTCAAACCCTCCTGCACTGCTCCCTGAAGCGCATGCGGAGCGGAGGTTGGTCATTCCTGCACCATTCCAATGAGGCCCCGGCTGGTGAGGCTGGATTCTTGTTCACTTGGACCGTTTCTAGAGTGACCGGTGAGGCTTGCTGGGACACTGCCGATTGGAAAACTTGGGCAGATGGCACGGGTGTGGTTCAATATTTGTTGGCCGGGCTCTTCGCTGCAGTATACCGGCTGACTTATATAACTACATAGAATTTGACCCGTTTCGACTGATTCTGCAACATGACTGATGCCGATTCTGATGAGAACTGGCTCGTTAGCGAGCCTGTTGTGACCGAATGGTATGACGGCCAGGTGCGACAGCTCAAATATCTGGGCTTCTCTTCCCCTTCCAATTGGAGGTCGCACCTTACTCTCAATTTTGGTCTTGCCGTTTCGGAATCGAAGCGCGAGGCTCTGTTTTGGTTCCGCCTTCCCATCCGTGTAAAGTCACGAACAACGACGAGGCCGACCAAGTTCTACGTTTACTTCATCGTCGAGCCCGACATGTTTGATGTGGATGGCGAAGATCAGGGTCTCTCTTTTTCCCAGCAGCCGAACGTGCCATCATCGGTCCAGTTAGCCTTCAAAGGCAGCAACATCTGCCAGTCAGACAGTGAGCTCATTCGCTTGCGTTTCAATCTCAAAACCCCCAGTGTCGTGGTCATGCCGAAAGCTGAAGAGTCCCCATTCGAGCCTTCGGCCATCAATCAGCAAGTATTGCTCGCGTTGAAGTCGCTCTCAGAAGCCACCAAGTTCAGCGCCTACGTTCCTCAGAGCTCTCTGTCCACCAGCCGTCTCCAAACGCTTTGTCGAATGATACAGCACGGGCATCTACAACCGCGGCCTCGTGAGATACATACCCTTTATCACGGCAAAAGCGGCGAGATGAATGCATGGGGGAACTTTGTCCTTTCTTCGGGCCAGGAAGAGGCGGCAGGTCAAACGAAGGAATCATTCTTCACGCGGGAGTCGGTCTCATTTGCTGAGGGCCCATCAGAGTCCAGCGAGAAACAAGCTGCGGCAGCTGAAGTGCAGGAGCAAGCTGTGGTCGAGTCGGTAGAGAAAGACGACCGACCGAAACATTTCTATCTCAATGAGAATCGAGTAGAGGAACGGCAAGGTAGCATTCCGCCTACCTATCAAGAGGCCGGTCCTCCTTCGCCACCAGCTGCAAACGCTGCTACGGCCAGTCCACTATTGAGGACGGCGAAATCTTTCAGCATCCCCCCAGCCGGCGATGTTCTGAAAATAGTACGGCAGTCGAGTGCTCCTCCCGCCTGTCAGAGACATTCCGAGGAACGCCCCGCTCTGTTTGTGCCACCGAAGCCATTACCTGAACTTGAACCTCCTAGCGCCGTGCCCGAGGGTCAAGTGGCAGCCGAAGACACAGGTCAGACCGCCCCTCGGTCATCCAAACGGAGCAAGCCTCCCTCTGATGACGAAGTGGGTGAGGATGATGACTTGGAAACCACCACCTCCACAAGAGACAACAAACCCCAGAAGCCCCTTCTCAAGTCGAAGACCACAATCAAAGGTACACAACTCTCCCGTGCCCACTCCTCTAGCCCGCGTCGACTAACGAACCACTCCATTCAGTCCGCCGCCCTTCCAAACAAGTCCGCTTCGACGACGCCGCCGGCACAACAGCCAGCTCCTCCCGCCGCCGCCGCAGCCACCCTCCCACCACACCATCATCATCATCATCGTCGTCGTCCCACCCACCCATCCCCACCCTCCCCCCTCCATCAACAACATCCCTCCCCTCCTTCTCCCTCACCGCCCTCTCCACCTCCCTCCCCAAACCGCAATCCGCCCTCCTCCGCCAAACAATCGACTGGTTCAAATGGGCGTGGACGACCCCGACCCACCGCGCGAGCCAAACGCAGAGCCAACAGCAACAGCGCCAGCGCCAGCAGACACGTCGCCGCCACCCCCCCATCATCTCCGCCACCGCCCCCCTGACCCACCCCCACCTCTGCGCCCTCGGCACCGCCGCCCGCGCCGGCGACACGGACGCGTGGCTGGCGACGCGGGCGCGCTGCTCCGCGCGCGTGCTGTGGGAGTGCGACGACGTGGACCCCGCCCGTGGTGATGACGCCGCCGACGCCGCCGGGGAGGACGAGAACGAGGACGAGAACGAGGAGGACGAGGAAGGGGAAGAAGACGAGCGAGAAGACGGGGAAGAAGGCGAAGCGTCGTTGTTGCTGCTGGGGGAGCTAGAAGCGTTTTTGTTGTGGGTGGGGCGGGTGGCGCCGCGGGCGGAGATGGCGCTGACGGGGGAGCTGCGCGAGTTGGGGCGGCTGGCGAGGCGCGGGGAGGGGGCGTGGTTGGAGCATGGGATGGCGGTTTGTGCGGGGTTTGTGGTGTTTTGGTTTGGGGATGGGGAGGAGGGTGCTGGTGCTGGTGCTGCGTGAAGGAGGGACGGTGGTGGTATTATGAAAGGCTGCGTGATGGATGGCGTGCGGTGGTTATGGAGGGTTAGCGCGCCGTTGAGGATTGCGTGGGATTACTTGATGGAGCTAGCGTTTCCGCAGGCTCAGGGTCTTTTTTGCGGGACTCGTGTTTTTTGTGGGACGTGGGGAAGTGCACACGCGGTGGTGCCTCCGGAATGCGTGGTACCACGTCGCCGCCGCCGCCGGTTGCTCGGTACTCGGCTCCTTGCATGCTTGGCTGAGCGGGGCGTGGCCCATTTCCGTCATTGCTCGCGTGACCTGACGGAGCAGGAACGAACCTGTTCATCGTGGGGGAAAAAGTTTTATCGACAATCAGGGTCCTGCAGATCACAACACCACCATGCCGGGCGAAGGCGCCAGATGGCGGGGCGACGCCTTCTCGGCGACGCTGCTCGCTGCCCGGGGCACAGGGAGAAACACAAGACGGCGCCGGCAGTGGCGGCATGATGTGCAGCGACGGCGGCTGGATCCTTCTCTCCTATTCCGGCCGTCGCCCCTGCTCTACCGCACTATTCGGCCCCCGCCAAGCCGCTTCGCTCCGGAGGTTTAACCACCCCACCATCATCGCCCGTCTAATATATCCCCCGCCGCCCCTGATCTTGCTTTTCTCGTTGCATCCTATCCGCTGCCTATCAACATGGCACTCGCATCATCAGATCCCTACCCCGAACCCCTCGACCAGCTGTGGGAAATAGGCCGCCGCCTCTCACGGGACCTCGCCAGACTCAACACCCATCGCAGACCCGACAGAGCAGCACTTTCGAGCATCCGCCGAAGTCTGAACCACCTGCAAGCAATGTCGCACCCACCAAGCCCGGCCATCCGCAAAAGCCAAGTCAACATGGCCCTGCGCGACCTCGCCGAGTGCCATGTCGTCGACGAATCCCTCCGACAGGAAGCTCGGACCTTGCACGAGACCTTCGCCCAAACCCTGCTCACCGACGCCCTCATCCACTGGTCTCCCGCCGACAGTCCTTCGTCCGTCCTCGTCCTCATCCACTGGTCTCCCGCCGACAGTCCTTCGTCCGTCCTCGTCCTCCTCCCCATCTCGGACCCTGCCGGCCTCGTCCTTTCCGAAAACGACCACGGTGCACAACAACAGTCCTCCTTCCTCCTCCGCTTCGACTTCGACTCCGACGACTCGGGCGCGTCCATCGCCCTGAACCAGCACGCCGTCGACCTCCTCCCCCGCACGCCACCAACGCCACCCCTCCTCGTCTCCGCCCACCAAGTACTCACCAGCGCCACCACCCTCAACGCCTCCGCCCTGTGGTCCCTTTCTACCTCCTCCTCCTCCCCCCACCACCAGCCACCCCCACAGCACGCCGCCCCGCCCCTCTACAACCTCGCCATAGCTCTCACCACCCACCCATCCCTACCACCCCTCCCCCCTCCCAACCCCGACCCCGACACCGACACCACCACCGCTTCCACCACCGCCGCCCTCTCCCCCACCCTCTCCCTCACCTTCGACATCCTCGCCGCCACTGCCGCCACCACCACCAACGATCACAACACCATCAACACCAACAACATCCTCTGCACCCTCCGCCGCACCTCCCTCGCCGCCCGCTATCTCCTCCTCCCACCGCTCTCCCCCCTCCTCGGCAGCAGCAGTATCGGTGTCGCGTCGCCGCGACCACCCGTCGTCGTTTTCGACGACCAGAGGCAGCGAGGTGTGCGGGTGGACGTGCGGCGAGGACGAGGACGAGGACGACGAGGCGGCGGCGGCGGCGGCGGTGGAGGGCGGGTGGAGGTGGAGAGGGTGGAGGTTGAGAAGGTGGAGTTGGTGGAGCGGGGGCGCTGGCGGGGGGCGGGGCTGGAGGATGGGGCTGGTGGGGAGGGGGAGTGGGAGTGGGAGTTGCGGGGATTGTTGGGAGTGCCGCCGGGGGAGGAGGGGAAGGGGGAGGGGAGGGGAGGCTGGGGGTGCGGAGTGGGAGTGGGAGTGGGAGTGCTGTTGGATGTGGTGGTGTTGGTGGTTGTTGGGTATGTGGTGGTGGGGGTCTGGGCGAGGAGGAGAGGGAGGAGAAGGCAGTGGCGGGGGCGGGGGCGGGGGGGATGTGTGGAGGGAGGGGAGAAGGGAGGATGCGGTGTTGAGGGAGTGTTGCTGGTAGTGGTGGATGAGAAAGGCGGGGGGATGTGAGGGAGGGGATGGATGCGAGAGCGGTGTTGATACCATTGGTTGTTGTTGTTGGACGTATTGTTAATATTTTTAATCAGCGATAGCAAGCGAAAAGGTGATGATGAAAGCTTTAATGCGGAACGAATGTCGGATATCTCGAAGGGGATGCGGATGCATTCGGTTCAAAGAAGATCGGATTCAGGTTCGTCTCCAAACCGACAATAGCGGATGAGATCGTGCACTCATAAGTCAGTCATACGCCGGCTCGTCGAACCGTCCCCATCCACCCAGCTAGTTAGCTCCAAAGCCTCCCACAGTGAACACGTGCGCCAATCACGCACATCATGCCCTCCCACGCCTCTCCCGTAGCGGCCACTATTCCTCCCCATCCCCACCTTCCGTCAACGTCGGCGACACGGTCGGCACCGCTCCTCCGCAATTACGCCACGTACCCAAAAACAGCTCCGCGAGACCACTTTGATCCACAAGCCAGTGTAAACGCCGTAGTAGCTCGGCGTACCTTTGAGTGGCTGAAGAGAGACAGACAAGGAAGCCAATTTTTTTAATTTTTTTTTTTTTTTGGTGTGAGTCCGCGGTGCGAGCTTGAGAGATTGGAGATATCTACTGCTAGCCAGCCGTTTGATGTTTTGTTGGCGAGCGGCATGTCGGCCGCCCCAAGCTTTGTGAAAATAGTGCAGTATATACGGCGCTATGCTCGGTACATGGTTAAGTATGCTCTAATTGTCCCGTCTGGACAGCAGATCGCTGACCATCACCACATGGCAAGGCGGCCAGCACACCGTCCATCAGGGCCACCACCAAGCCCGTTCGTTCAAAAAACGCTCAGCTCAAAATAAAACTCCTTGCACCACCAGTGCATGACGATCACCATCACCAATGACTCAATCGGCTTTGGCACCTTCGCCCCCAAAAACCCATTGCTGTGATCGTCGATATCGTTGCGTTCAGACCACGAGCTGGCCGCCTCGTCGCCGTAGCGATCGAGATTGTCGAGCCGATGCGGTCTCCAGATCTGATGACTCCAGCCCCGAGTGAACCGACGGCATGACCTCAAGGAGGGTGTCCGTGGAGATTCGGCGTTCGCGACCGCCGTCGTGCACAGCGCATATACACGTGGCATGGCAACCCCGGCCCCAACCCCCCTCCCTCTCGAGTGACGCGCGGGCGGTGTTGGGAAGCCTGCAGAGATATAAGGCCGATCGAGTCATGGGCGGCAGGCATCAAATCGCGTCGCATCGCGGTGAATCAAAAGGGCGGGAAACATTCAGCACCGGGCACCGCCGCGAGTTCGGCCGACATTATTATTACTGATCAAATCAATTGGCTGATCAGAAACGTCGTTGAAGAAGGGGGTGAGTTGTCGTTGGATCATCACGCACGGCGGCCAAAGACGAATGAATCATGCCTCCGTTTCAGGCTCGAGATTCCTCGATTTGATCGACGACGAGCTTTGACGTAGGTACCTGCCCATTTTCTGCCGCTAATCATAGCCTGGAAATAGACGATAGGCCTCTCGGCCATCACTGCTGGATCTCGACAGCACCGGTGATTAGGTAGATGAAGCTGTCTGAGTCGATCCGATCCGAAAGGTGCTCAGTGCGTGCATGTTGAGAGTGAGTGCCACGCGTATAGTTTCCTCTTCGACGTAAAGACACCCGGCCCTTCGAGGGGTGGGTGATTCAGGCGCTGCGTCGATGACTTTTGTCTTTTCCCCCGCTGACTCGACTGTTGCCGCGGAGTGGACCATCTGCCGTGTTATCCATCGTTCAGAGACATCACCGCAGGAAGCAATATCATGTCGGACGGCGGATGATAGAGCCTGCCCGCTCCCCTTCTCTTCGCTTGTGAAGAGGAGGCCACAACAGCAACAACAGGCGACTGACAACAGATTTATTCCACAACTCGAGTTCGTCATCCATTGCCAACCACACAAAAACACAGTCGGAACCAAAAGCATATACCAAAGCATCATATTTACGTTCAGTAGTAGTAGTAGGGTTTTTTGTTGATAAAACATATCAAAACAAAGCGCATCGCATCGCATCGCATCGCATCGCATCGCAATGCGACCAAAAAAAAAAACCAAAAAAAAACCGAACAAGCAAAAGCAAAAAAGTTAAACAACTCAACGAATTATATATCTACAAGAATCTCTGATCCGACCTCCTCTTCATTCCATTCAAGACTTCAACAAAAAAAGCCATCCCCCTCTCTCTTCCTCCCCCCTCCCTCATTGAGATATCCCCACACATCACATCACATCATCACCATTCCCTTTCCTTCCCTTTCCTTCCCTTTTAATCTACCTCCTCAACGCACCCTTGACAACGCTCTCAAACACAAACGTAAACCACTCCAACACATCCTTGATCCGCGTCCCCTCGGGCAACGCCTCGTCCGCACCGACCGCGGCCGCACCGCCCGTCGGCTGCGCGATGACCTGGGTCAGCGCCGCGCTGGGGATGATGTTGGTCCAGTTGCTGGCGATGCCGCTGGCGACGATGGACGGCAGCGGCGAGGGGGCAGCCGCACCGGAACCGGCACCCGCACCAGACGTCTCAGCCGCCGCCGCGACGACCAGGGTCGACAGGGTCGACGCGGGGGCGGGGGCGATGACGCTGGTCGAGGTGTAGACGGACTCGGCGCCGACGGCGTTGGCGGCGTTGGCGGCGTTGGCGGCGGGGGTGGATTCGGCCTCGCTGCCGGCGGCGACGGTCACGTAGACGGTCGTCAGCTTGGTGTTCTTGACGGTGACGGTGGTGGTGACGGTGGATTTGCCCGAGTCGGAGCCCTCGGCGGAGCCGGAGGAGGGGGACGCGGGGGCGGGGGCGGGGGTGGTGATGGAGGCGGCGGAAGAGGAGGCGACAACGACGGCGGTGGAGGTGGAGGCGGAGGCGGACTGGTCGACGACGGCGGAGGAGGCGGAGGAGACCTCGGCGGCGGCGGAGCTCTGGCTGGAGCCGGACGAGGAGCCGGTGGAGCCGGTGGAGCCGGTGGTGATGGTGGTGGTCTGGCCGGAGATCTTCTTGGCGGCGTGCTCGGCGGCGACGTAGACGATGGCCTGGGTGTTGCCGGTGGGCAGGTCGGGGTGGATCGAGGCGTCGACGACGTACAGGTTGTCGGTGCCGTAGACCTTGCAGTCCGTGTCGACGACCGAGGTGCCGTCGGCCTCGAGGCCCGAGTCGGTGCCCATCTTGGCGGTGCCGACGAAGTGGGAGCCGGTGGTGAGGCCGGCGATCAGGTCGGCGGCGGTGACGTTGCCGCCGGTGGACGAGGTGACGCTCATGGTGCCCGACTTCTGGATGTAGCCGAAGAACTCATCGAGGAACGAGGTGATGGCGGCCTTGTCGGCGTCGGTGTTGAGCCAGGGCTGGGTCATCAGGGTGGTGGCGCCGGACTCGTCGATGCCGAGGCGGCCGGTGGAGGTGAGGCCGTGGGTGAGGTAGACCTTGACCTTGATCTCGGTGGAGCTGGAGACGGAGGTGGTGCCCTGGACGTAGCGGGTCTTGCCGTCGGTGCCGTCGACGGTGGTCCAGAAGTTGAGACGCTGCATGCCCTCGGCAAGAGGACCGGAGCCCTGCTTGTAGAGAGCAATGTCGTTGTCCGAGGGGTTGGTGGGGTCGAAGACGGTCATGTTGCCACCGGCGACCTTGACGGTCATGGTGAGGATGGTGTGGTCCTTGAGACCCTTGCCGACGGGCAGCTCGATGTAGTCGGCCGAGTCGAGAGTGATGCCGTTGTCGGAGCTGTTGACGATCTCGAGCTGGTCGGCCGGGCCGATGCCAGAGTTGAACAGGATGCGGGGAGTGGACAGAGCACCGGCGGCGAGGACGACCTTGCCGTTCTTGGTAAGGTTGATGATCTGGGCAGCGCCGTCGGCGTTCTCGATCTCGACACCGGTGATGGAAGAGCCGGAGCGCATGACACGGACGACCTTGGAGTTGAGCTGGAGCTTGAAGTTGTCAAGCGCCTGGGCCTCGGGCAGGTAGGTCAGAAGGGGACCGGCACGGAGAGAGTCCTTGATGTTGAACGGAGGGTGCGAGAAGACCTTCTCCTTCTTGTTGGGCTCCTCGATGGCGTCGACCTCGCTCCAGCCGTTGGTCTTGAACAGCTTGGACAGGATCTCGTAGACGCCCTGGTTGTAGCGGCGGCCGTCCTTGGAAGGCAGCGAGGTACCGGGGTTGCGCTCGTAGAAAGACTCGGCAGAGGCCTCGACGTCGGACCACGACCATCCCTGGGGCCAGGCCTCAAAGTCGGCCTCCTGGGGCTTGACGAACATCTCGGCGTTGATGGAAGACGAGCCGCCGAGAATGCAGCCAGCCTGAGAAGCAGTGTCGGTGCAGTATGAGACATCGCCGGTGGAGGACACGGCGTAGCCGTAGGCGGGGACGTCGTAGGGGGTGACGGTGTTGTTCCAGTCGAGCATGTCCTTGCCACCGCTGGAGGCGGACGAGGCGCCACCGCGCTCGATCAGGAGGACGGAGCCCTTGGACTCGGCGAGACGGCCGGCGGCGACGAGGCCGGCGGCACCACCACCGACGACGATGTAGTCGTAGGTCTCGCTCACGGTGGAGGGGGTGGCCAGGGGAGTGCTGGACGGGGTGGTGGCAGCAGGGGTGGTGGTCGAGTTGGAGGCGCTGCCGGAGCCGGAGCTGCCAGAGGAGCCAGTGGCCAGCTTGGACCAGGTGGCGAAGTCGGCAGACTCGGCGTCAGCGATGGGCATGCCGAAGGCACCGAAACCAGCAGCGTGGTAGTTCAGGGCGGAATCGGCGCTGGAGGGGGTGGTGGGGGCGGTCTTGGAGAAGGCCCAGCCAACGACGGCAGTGGTGCCGGTGACGTCGAAGGCACCCGAGTCGCCGGTGATGCAGCCACTGCACAGGAAAGTGTACGAGTAGTGGGTGGAGTTGACGAAGGTGCCCTCGGGAATGGTGGTCAGGGTGACGCCGTCCATGACGGAGGGGTTGGAGTAGGCGTTGGTCTTGCGGGCAGAGGCAACGATGTCGTCTCCATTGGGCCAGGCGGCGATGAGGGTCGAGGCCATCATGGACGAGGTCATGGACACACCGGCCCAACCGGCGCCGGGAGCGACCATCTGACCAATGATGTCGGTGGTGGCCTCGGGGTCCTCGGGCAGAGCCATGCCGAAGGTGAAGCCAGTGGTCGAGTCCTCCCAGCGCTGGAAGGTGATGCCGGTGGTGGAGTCGGTGTAGGCGCTCGTGGTGGTGGCCGCGCGGGCGGCACCAGCCAGGGCGGCAACGGCCGCAACAGTGGTACGCATAATGGAGGTCTTTGTGGTTATTTTGGGAAGTGAGTGTGTGTGGACTGTAGTCAAAGAAGGTAATTCAGACAGCGAATTGGCACCTGGCCAAAGGATAGAATAGCTCGAGGCGAACGACTGGAGCCGTCGAGGCTTGAAAAGAATGACTTGCGAGAAAAAAAAGAAGGGAATGCGTGCTGAACTGGCAGCTGGGCGTGAGGAGAGGAGCAAGAGGAGCCTCCGGGGCAGCGCTTGGCGGGTTCATATACAATCGCGGGCTCCTATGGGGAGAGCATGATTTTTCAGCCACGGGGCAGGCGCGCTCCACCGCCGGCACCGTCATCTCGCTGCGTGAAACGAAACTCGGCCGTCGGCAGTGGGTTTCCTCTCTGGACCAGGGCCCGGACTCGGATCGTTCCAGACGGGTGCTGGGCGAGAGCTGGCGGGCGGGAGCCGAATCAGCACCGGCAATCCAGCGGCGGGGATTGGCCAGGCAGGCGACGGGCGGGGGTTGTGTTTCGCATATAGAAACGCGGCTGATGTTTCTGGTGGAAGCGAAGGGGCGCGCTCGGCCTTGGTGAAACGGCACGGACGCGATAGATGAAGGCCTGGCCTGAGCGCCTGCCTAACCGCGCCGCCGCCTAATTGTCCGCCAACAGTAGCGACTGTATTTCCACCACCACCGCCGCACTCCTCATCCCGCGCATGAACGCCCGCGCAATCTGCCGCGTCCGTCCACCTCCGATCGCAAAGCTTGGTATGCAGACTTTCCCTCGCCGCGGGAGCTCTTCGCTTTCGTACCGCCCTCGTTGCGTGCGTTAGACGTTCGCGATGCGCGCAATGCCCGCCCACGGGCCCACACGGGGCTCCCTCCAACCGCCACGGCCCATCAAACGCCCACTGGCCCTTTCTACCGTCTATACAACCCGGCTGCCGGCATTAATATTATCACCGGTCCACCCATGTGGAGAAGCTAGAAGCCGCTGCATTATTTCGAGAACAATATACCACGGAGACTATCTCGGCCTTCGCCCTACAATACAATCGCTGCTATTTCCGAGCACTCCTCACCGCGACACTTTCCTTCTCGCCGCCGCACCCTACCTCGCCTTGGCCTCCTCGTGCTTGTGGTGGCAGCCCGTCACCTTCGGCTTCTGGACCAGCGGGTTGAGCCGGACGTTGCGCCTGCTGCGCGCCGGCAGCGTGTCGAACGACTCGGCATACGTCGCCACCGCGTGCGCGATGGCCCGCGTGTTGATCAAGAACGCCTCCAGGTTCAGGTTGTCCACCGTGTCGCCCACGCGGTGGTAGTTGGCGTCGTACGCCACGCCGGCGGTGCCGCCGTACAGGGCCGCCTCCTCCTCCGTCTTGATCTCCTCGGCGCCGGTGAAGAGGCCGCCGGCCGCGACGCCGACGTCGAGGAACGGGCCGTAGTCGGAGCGGCCGCTGAACTCGGTCGGCTGCGACGGCACGTCCTTGCTCGCGAAGTAGCCCTCGAACAGCGCCTCGGCCTCGGCCGACCCCGTCGGCCCGCTAAGGTTGAAGGCCGACCCGTCGCCGTCGTAGATGCCCAGGAAGTAGTTGGGCGACGCGATCATGTCGAAGTTAAGGTACAGCCGGATCTTGTCCAGGTCCTCGGGCGCCGACTGGTTAACGTAGTACTCCGCGCCCAGCAGCCCGAACTCCTCTGCCGACCACCACGCGAACCGCACCGCGTTGTTAACCTCGTACTTGGCCAGGTTGAGCGCGACTTCGAGGATGCCGATGGAGCCGGACCCGTTGTCGTTGATGCCCGGTCCCGCCTCGACGGAGTCCGAGTGCGCGCCGACGAAGATGACGTTGTCGGGGTCGCCCGCCTTGGTCTGCGCAATCACGTTCATCCTGCGTTAGGTGGGTGGTCAGCCAGAAGGGTTCCCCTGGTGCCGTCTTGGGGGGGGG